TCTTTGTCAGTTTGTACTGCAAGCGGTTAGATCTTCGCGTGGTTCGGATGACAACGTAAAATGGCGGTCTCGTCTCCAGTAGGAAACATAAAAATAGTGTACCCAGTTAATACTTTCGTGTCGAATACATTGACACCTAAATCAAATAAAGTGCATTTTTTTTAACTGACGATAACACAATCCTGAAGATAACTTGTTTTCTTTTTTCAAGAAAAGGAATGTGCAGTGAGGGGTAGACATTCTGCTTAGCAACTACAACGTAAACATAGCTGCAACTTGAAAGGACTAATAATACCTATCTGTCACGGATGTTATCCAAACTCAAAAGTGTATTCGCTGAGTCCAATAATCGTAAAAAAAAAACGTTTAGGTTTGAATAACGGTTTTGACTCGCTGTCCAATATTGTTGATGATTGTGCTCTTTTTTTTTTCTTTTTAAGGGAATGGAAGCGAACAAAATTATGCTCGACTGAGATCGACGTCAATAAGTAGAATTTTCGATTAATTGTCATAACTGAAATGGAATGATTTATTAAATTAAAAATTTTCCCCCCAAGATTACCCGAACCAATTATTTGAATATTTGATTAATTGAAAGTGTGATTAAATAGATGAAATCCTACCTATGAACGTAGGAAGCCGTATTTTTACGTTGAGTAGCGGCAAATTACTTCCAGGTTAGAATATTGCCAATATTCACAAACAAAGCATCATCAGTGCTTTTACTCAAAATTGTATCGTTGTCAGATAAAAGAATTATGGATTGCACGCTGAGTCTCAAGGACCTCAAGTTTTCAAGATTAGCTAAGTCTAACTAAGTCTAAGAGACTGCTTCCGCCATGAGATACGTTATGATGGCTGGAGTTGTGTCCCAAAACTCAGAGTGGGCCATTCCGCGCTGTATCAGGCCTGACACTGTATTATCCTAATGCGCTGCCAACATATCCCCGCCCGCTAGAACGTATTTCCGGAATTAATTACAGCATATTTCAACCAGCAAAGTCCATATATGTTAAAAGAATTATAGCAATTTATTGACTAATTGGTTCAGTAGTGCACAACTGTGAACCCATTGCCCCGATATTGTCCCACGTTCAATTCGCTTTCAAGATAAATTAACAAAACAAAGAAAACTAAAGTAATCTAACCAAATAGATCCGCATCAAAATCCACTTGTTTGATAGCAACAAGATAAGCTAACTAGAAAATACGGAAACTGGCTTCAAAAGTCAACATTTTATCAGCGCGTTTACTTTGTTTGTTTGCTTGTGTATGAAGATGACTGAGGAAATGCAAAAAGTACTTTGGACCTTAAAGATTACGACATCGTTTTCCGTTTTTATTGTTACCAATACTTTAAAGCGTAGTTAAAATTAAAACACCATACCACCGCATTTCTGAACTGAATTTTGGCCAGTTTTGGCCATTTTTCCGGTCACTCGAAGATGGCCCGATTCTCCGATCTCCTTTGTTCTCAAAATTTTCCTTTTCGGATCGAGAGGCCGCTTTCGTTGGGTTGTTGGATGGCTACTTTTTGCTCATATAACCGACAGTCGTGCCTAATAATTTGAAGGAATAGAAACGATAAAAAAAATCAAAAGTTTTAACCATGACGTTCAGTTCCTTTTCACTTGATTGAAGGTTATACTGAAAACTGTTAACTTTTAGCTTTTGCGTGCAGATATTAGTAGCAACTGAAAGTATAGTACAGGCGGCCAAATAAAGTAGTTTGTTTATCCGCTAGTCATGGCAACTAAATTGAATGCAATACTGCCGATAAAAAAGCACACTGGAATGATCGTTTCTCCTCTGGACGTGACCAGCTACTGCTGCAGCTGTATCTACATCGAGAGAACGTAACATACACGACGAGTGGGGTTCACATAGATTCCAGGTTAACATTTGATCAACATCATCGTCAAGCTGTTTCCAGCTGGTGACTTTTTGAGTCATATTTGATTTCTCGAATTTTTTTCTTGTTCGAAGCCTTTATATTTTTACAGTTTTTACAGTGAAGTGCGCCGAATGTGTGCAAATACCTGCTAATTCTTACTGTCCACATGACTTTCAATATTGTTGATGACTGCGCTATTTTTAGGCATATAAGGAATGCAAAATGAACAAATTCTTATTTAAGATGCAATAAAAATCAAGTGATAACATTGTATCACGATTAAAGTTCTATTCAGGACCACCCGTCAGGCAATTCATTGCTCAAAATAAAAACAACACAGATTTTTTATCATGCCTTATCCAATCGCTATCCAGATATTAAATAACAGAAATAAAAAAAATATTAACACAAATAGTGTCCGTTTGTTTTGAAGTTTGTTGTACCATTTTTCTTCGTATGGTGGAAGTTAGCAAGATAATTAAAAAAACATAAGTCAAAAAAAAAATCAAATTTCTACTAAGAAAATCACGAGGCAATACAATAGCTGTGGTCACACTACAGACTTTTACCTAGGTAAAACCGATTTACCTAGGGCAAATTCATCAAAAATCTCCCGAGGTAAATTCATCTCGGGTTTTGTTTTACCTAGGTAAAAATTCTGGGAAGGTCACACTACTGATATCGGCTCCCAAAGTTTTCACGCCAGTTGAATTTTTTGGAGCGTAAATTCAAGAGGGCAAAATGCGCAGGGATCTAGCTGATCAAAGAGACGTTTTTTTTCTTTTATCTCGCTGTTTTTTCTTACGCTAATTCAACGTGCAAGGTGAAGAAAGGCGAAGACGTAGACGTAGACGACTTGTGCCCCAATAATTTCTTTCGCAGCGTGATCTATGTCCGGTTCTGTCATCAAGACCTTCGGCGATGAGCGTCTATTGGCTAGCAACCTCGGTATTTCATTTTTCCCTAGCTGTTGCTTTGGGGTAGCTGTCAAGGTAAACTCTATTGTTTTCGAGACATATCCAAGACCCAGACGATAAAACTTCCCCGAGGTAAGTTACCTAGGGAAAAATCGGTCACACCTAAAAAATCAAGTTTCCCTAGGTAAACTGTCAACAAGTCGTGTTTACCTAGGTAAAAAGTCTGTAGTGTGACCACAGCTAATTTATGTATTATGAATGCTCGTCCTTAAACGTCTATATTGGACTGGGTGCCTAACGGAATTAATATAAAATTCCACTAGAGATAAAAAAAAAACTCCTGTTCTGCGAATCTTTTCTTCACTGAAAAAAAATTTTTGTACGGTTTTTTTAAAATTTCATTCTGATGATAAGGTTAAGTTCAATCCATGATTCCTTCATTTTTGCGGCTACCTGACTAATATTTTATTGCACAAACCAGTTATGATGTACAGGAAAAAGGGCTTTGGCAGTTTCCTTCATTATGTCAATGCAAGCGTGGAGGTACTCTTAGGAACCAATATACAATCACCGGTTTCATTTGTCATTATTACGTTGGCAATATCTTTAAAGCTAGTTTCCTGGAGAAAATGAAAAAAATCCGGTCAAAACTCCAAGTCTTGGCTGCAAGAAAAAATAAATTATTACAATTCAGTGATTTTACTTTACTTCCCTTGACGTAGTTGCATTCATAGATTTTCAGCCCACCCTTTAGAAAATGACAACTAGCTCTTAACAACCAAGTGCTATACTTTCAAGGGTGCGAGACTGGAAGAAAGTTTATTTCAGCTTCCTTATTCCGAGGCAGGTTCGCAGTAGTTTATAACCGTGTTGTAACATGTGAGAGCTACTTCTTCTCCTGCATTATACTAATCCCAGCGCGGTTTTTTTCAAAGGATCTTGATGACACAACTCTTTGATAGTAGGGTGCCCACTCCGCTCTCAAACATTTTTCGTTGCTTTACTTCCCTTGACGCAGTGGCATTCATAGATTTAAATCTCGCCCTTTAGGCAATCGTAACAAGCACTTAAACAACCAAGTGCTATACTATCAAGGGTTGGGGACTAGAATCTTCATTATTCGGTAGCAGGTTCGCAGTACTGAGTTTATAGCCGTGTTGTAATATGTGAGAGCTGCCTACCTCTTCTCGTGCATTATACTAAGCTCAGAGCGGTTTTTTTCAAAAGGTCTTGATGGCACAACTCTTTTGGGTGCCTACTTCGTTCAAACATTTTAGACTGCTACTTCACATAAAACTGTTATCACTGAGTTATAAATTAGTCAAGGCGTACCGGCTAAATTGAAGGATTTAAAGTACATCAGAAACTCTGACTCAGGGCTCCCTATGAGATATGATAGGCTTCAGTTTGTGATCGCGAATAGTGCTTTCCTGCGGATTTTTTTAAAAAATTGTCAGGGTTTTAGCATGCTATAGTTACTGGTTAAATCTGTAAACTAAATAAATGAATTATAATCAAACTTTTATCCAGTTCTTTGTTTTTTGGCCCTAAACAAACTGTTACTGAGCAAATAGGTTTCATGAGGAAGTAAGATCTCGCTGAGTCATTAAAAAATTCTGAGACTTAACCAGCACTTTCTTTGAACTGCTTTACTATAAACGGATCCATATCCGAAAATCAAAGGCGCAGTTCAATCCTATAGTTTTTGCCCCAGTGGTAAGGGAGTATCCAAGTATCTCTGAACCCGTGGTACAAAGCCTTCACCCCAGCCTTCTATTTTGGTCAAAGTTGACGGTCTGGATTACCCAAAATGTAACTCATTTTCCGATGTAACGTTAAACATTAAGCAATTTATGTGAAGTTTACTACTACGGTGTCGAGAACTTGACGGGGAAAGCATTCTCTCTGCAAAAAGAAGCGAAGTACTAATAGTGAACGGGTTGGAAATTTGCAATGTCACTGTTGCAACGCCACCCTTCAAACCGAGAGGATAAATATTTCGAATGGAATGCGCCGGAATTTTGCCGAAATATTCCGGCTTACTTTGAACTATTGAACAAAACAGAACACTTGTTATGCTACCCTCCCACGCAAGCGAGAGCGTCACGTGGAGCAAATTACCTTTTTACGTACCGTCAAAGGTATATAAGTAAGAAAGTTTCTCGCACTTCATCATTGTATCTCCGCATCTGCCAGCGAACTAAGCATTTCGGAGATTCGCCATGGCTGCAGAAAAAGAGCCCGACTCGAAGGAGGAATTCAGCGATGAAAAACTGAAAAAGTCTACCCGCAAGACTAAAGTCATTGTTATCGCTGCCTTAACAGTTTTTCTTTTACTTGGGGCGGTGGTTTCTGTGTCGCTGTATTTGACGATAAACCAATCGACTCCAAGTCAGTCAAATCGTCTAACAGATGTAAATTTGAATACGGGCGATACACTCACTTACCAAGTGGATCAGGATATAGAAGCAGAAACGGGAAATGATAAGCAGAGAGGTAGGCTGATAAAGTATTACACAAAAAGAGTTCTTTTAATATCGAAATTTCATTAACACAGTTTCTAGGTTATATCTTTCAAAAACCAAGAAATACACTGATAAAAATATTCAATGGAAAGATCCTGAAAAACCAAATAAAGCAGTTTTGATATAAACTGCATGATTACAAAGATGAAAGTAGACTACAGTTCATTCACCTCTCGGCCAGTCCGGTTATCAAGTTTGCTATGTTCCGTAATAACTTCGTTGTCTTGCATCGTTAGCTGTAATTTTTGTGCTATTTCATCCAATTGCTTCTTCGTATTCTCTATACCAACGCAAATATCACACTCGAATACATACCACATAGAATACAGCCTATCAAATTAGATAATAAAATGTTAGTAAAATGATTCTGGCCTTGGGTGTGGCCAGTCAAATCAAAATTTAATAAGTGGTTCTTTACAGTGTTGTTTCAGCACTGCTCAGCATAATTTTCACAAAATGATTAAAATTTTCAGTGACTGTTATCTGGCACTGATTTTTGACATGCAATAAATTATTTTTGCTTGGCCGATTTAAATTTAGAGCTCGCAGTCAATCAAATTAAACAAAATCAACTAAGGAACTTTTATAACCCTTTAGGGCACTGAATGTGCAAGGGAAGACACATATTTAACATCACTAAATAATTCAACCCACGCAGACTCATTTACTGATGCACAAAAGTACAAAAATATATTTTAAAGGGGTTGTTCTTATATCTCAGAAAAAATTTTACACTTGAAAGTATAATTTCTACTCTTCAGGCACGACCCACCTGAGTGAACAATTTTATTCAAGAGTTCTGGTGTTAGTAACCTGTCTAAAAGGAATGAACAATTAACTCAGTAGAATCAAAAACGAAAGAAACCCTTTGATTATACATTTTTGAGGAGATCCAGATCGCGGGTTACTAGCAACACAAACATACAAGAAAAAAAATCTAACTTTCGTTCACTCAGCGTCTTATTTTAGATCTTTCAGTAAACTTTAATCTAGTGAGAATCAAGGCGAATTAGCGAGATAAAACGCATATAATGACCTAAGTAATTTTCTCTCTCGGAGAAAAAGGCCGCGTAGAAAGGGCGCAAACTACCAGTATTAAAAAGAAAATTTCTTTTACGTGGCTCTTTCCATTTTTCTTTTCCTTAAAAAAAAACTGTTACTCTAATCTTTTTTGCTGTTCAACGCCGTAAAAACACGCCAATCAATCAAGCGTTTCGTGAAGCCAATACCCTCAAAAAGGCCGAAAGTAGAGTGGTTAGAACTTGTAAAACCACAAATGGGAAACAATATAAGTTGTCTTCCCTTCGACTCTTGACAACCGTAAGTAAACAGCACAACTTGACGACAAAGTACTTCAGTTTGAAGCTGTAAATATTAATTAGTCATTCACGACCCCCATTCCTTTTATCCGAATCAGCCTTTTTCCTTTCCGGAACTTAAAATTAAAGTTAAATTTACGCGTAGTTCCACAAAATAACAAAAAAAAATTCTTCTCAAAGGATTCATGAGATTTTTTACACGGATCAACAAACTTATTCTCTCCCATTTTCTGTTACACACTTATTAAGCTGTAGCTTAAAATTAATCGTGAATCATGGCCTATTGTTTTGACTCAACAGAGGATGTTTGACTCTATCTGATGTACCATTTGGAAATTTTTACAATGCAAATAGTTTTTGGGACCGTGGACGTTCTTGTGATAATAACGTCCAAAAATCAGTCTTAACAATATTAGCATTTCTCATCGAACTTTCCTGTTTCTCGACGCTACGTTAGCTGCCTGCCTTAGCACAAATTCTCGGCAGGAAACTGGTGTCTCTTTTGCACCAACTACATGCAAGATCACGTGAATGATCATGCAGTGAAATTACTTCCCCACTCCCCTTCCCCTTTGCTACTAGTTATACCTATAATTCTTGATTGCTATTTTTCAGGAACTATACGTGCGGTAGTTGGCATCATGGTCCTCAACAAGACATCCGAGGAGTACTGGTTCCTAATGCAATTCAACGTGTCCCAAGTGGCCGGGGAGGTGGACATTGTAGACGGCAATGAAACAATAGATTTTTTCCTGATTCGTTTTCATCTTGATTCCGGGTAAATATCGTGTTTTCTGAGTGTGATTTATATTCATTAACTTTTTTGCCCTCGGAAAAAAAATACTCTTGGTATTAAACAAAAAAAAAAACATGTGTTGTTGAAAGGCTTAGCGAAAGTGCGCTTAGCTCTTAATGCAAAGAACTAGTCTAGAATCCTGTCTTCAGAAAAATAATTTAAAAGGAATAATTCAAATGGAGCAAAACAGAATTAGAAACCCCTATTAGCTGGAGACAACCAGTTGGATATGCACAAGTTTAGCAGAGGATTTAAACTGGGGGCGTCCGCCCAGGGACTTCGAGAATTGAACCAAATTCGCCTGCTCGGGAAATCCGAGTTCACTTCCCGGAATGATTACATTGAACTTACTTATACTTACTGGACATGGGTTAAACCTTTCTTCAAACTACATAGCAAACTGTGATTCCGATAGAAGAATTCGACCTTCGAGTGACTTGAATAATTACTACCTTTTACCAGCAGTGTACGTAAACGAACAAAGGTTGTGAGGCGGTGCCTACAGTTTATCGTCCTTATCTAAGCTAGGATTACAAAGTCAAAGCGTTTGCAGATAACTTCAAACAAAATAATCTGATGTCACTCTGTAATGCAAATCAAGTTTTCCTGGTCATAAAAGACAAACATTGGTTATTACACAATCTAACTTTAATAAAAACTGTTCAATCAAGTCAATTTTGGGAGTACAAATGAAAAGGCTTTTTGTCATTTTTTTTTTTTAGAAATTCAAGTCATGGAAGCAACGTATCATTTGAAATCTATGGTATGAATTCCACTGATGACGGCAAACTACGGCTTGTGTATGGTATTCTTCAGCAATTACTGCCGACAGTGAAACGGGACCTTTATGAAAAATTGGATGGGAAAACTACAGGCTCGAATTCTCTCAGTCCTGAACAGTCTCCCTTGCTTCCTCAGTCAGTGAGGATGCACCGTGAAGCAAACACATCAGATAAGGGCACAGTCTCCATCCAGAATCACTTTGATGGATCAGACTTCGTTGGAATGCCATCAGGAGTCGATATGGACATGAAATACTCTGACTCTGCCCTCATAAAAAAGAGCAACGGGATGGTGTCAGAGAGTCGTGTATACTTTTCTGAACAGCTAAATCTTGGAGGCGAGATTGACGGCCAGAGCGGTGGGGGTGTTCCTACGATGAAAGTAACTTTAATGAGCCGAATATCCCTCGTTGAGACTGAATATTTTGGATTCGCCGATTTAGAAACGGACGACCTTTTTGTGAAGCTGGTGGTTCGGAAGGCAACAGCGCGCATTTCCGTAAACAATACTCAAAGTGAATCGAGTGAACAGAGCAACTCTGGCAACGCGTCGCTGAAACGCTCTCGGCGATCGGTGTATTACAACGTTAGCAACGTTAACGAGTCGCTGGTTGCTGAAATCTGGGATAGAATCCCTCCAGTTTGTCTTTTCGTCAATCGTACCACATTTCTCCTTCTGAATAAAACTGTTCTAGGCGTAAGAGTGAAATTGCTTGCGTCCTTGACAGTTAATATCGACGGAGTTGGAATACCACAAATAGAAGTTGAGCTCACTTTGCAAATTGGAGTGCGTTTATTCACGGTTTATAGTCGAAACTTCACAATTCCGCCACAGTTGGGAACGGGCTTTACAGTTATTGTGGCACGAAGGAGCACGATTCTGGTGAGTATGATTATGATGAAATGCCTTTTCTAGCGTGAGGCTAGGTTTACATTAATTTAATAAAGAAATATAAATGTGTCAGGGTTTCCAACATTTAGGGTAATCGAATTCGCAGTCGTTCGTACACATCAGTTAAATACGAAAACATTCTATTCGTATACAAAGTATTCAGTTTAGATCAGATTCCGGATTCCAAACACCCAATCACGTGACCAAACCAGGAAATTTTCATTTCCAATTCACGTATCTGCGTATAAACGGCAAAACAACTAATCCGGTACCAAGATGTTCCAGATTCATCACAAATCTCCTTTCGTGTAAATCTATAGCTAGAGTGTGAAAAAGCAAATGCCTGAACTCTTCCACTTGATGCTTCCCTGCCCCACCCCCCTCCCCCTACGCCCGCTTCCCTCCCCATTTTGATCAAACTGTCTCTGTTGTTGGCATCCACAGAAATTTGTCCTGGATCTAAGTTCATTAAAACTTGTTTTAATTTAAAGGGCCTCTTGGTAATGATCATACTCTAAGAACGATGTATAGAACACACCCTTTAAATACTTGGGCTTCTAATCTGGCTAATATGGTAATTAGTACCCAATAACATAACTTGCTATACTATTTTTCTCTTCACAGGCCTTAGACCTCTCTGATTTTGGCATACGATCACTAAGAACAAAGCTCCTCCTAATTTTTAATGTCCAGTTCCGAGTTAGCCTTCCTGCTGACGGAAACTCCCTCGATCCTCTTAAGCTGAAAGTTAAGGTAATAAATTTGATTTATTTGTCTGCTGCATTACACCAGTTTTCAGTGGAGTGTCGAAAGAAATATTGTCTTAGCTTTTACTTTTACTGAATTGCTCCTCCATGTGATTGGCCAAACAGTATCGCGTTCATCTCTCAAACAGTCACAACTTATCAGAACCAAACCAATCGTTTCCCCAAGCTACAGGCTGAACGTGAAAATCCGGGTACTCAATTGTATCTAACCCAGTAAGAAGTAAAACCAAAACTAGCTTAACTTGCTTAAACGGCGGAGTATTCCTGCGCTTAGGGCCTGCTACCGTTTCTTCGAGATCTGATTGGCTCATAATATTACTTGAAAGGCGCACTTTGTTACTTCAGTTTGTTTTACCGCGCCATGATCAACTGAAAAACAGCTCGTCATTAATTAAAGAGGTCTCGGAATGCAAAATATTGAAAGGCAGGCACTTTTCCTCTATATCCTAGAATATGTGCTTGGAAAAGGTCAATTCCCCACGGCCTACAGATATAAATGCAACGGACAAAATGAAGGACATAGTACAAACTTAAAAGATGCATTCTTACTGATAGTGTTAGAATGATCGTGTCTTTAAACGAAACTTGCATAGCATGCAGTACGAGTAAACTTAGCATGCGTTTGAAAAAAATTACCAGGCATTTCATGAACACTGAGAACAAAGACCGACAACATAAAAAGTAAGACTACACAACATACTTTTAAACTGGGGATAGCCATTGGCTTGAGTTGGTCGGTGTTATGTCGAGTTTTGCTATGGGAAGCCAGCGCTTTTGGCCATTATAAAGTTGCGTAGGGAACTGGGTTAATATTCGTCTCCCAAAACAGTCTGCAATTCGACTTAACGCAGACCCAGTCTCTCGCGAACCCTGAAAAGTCCGTTTAATTTTTATAAACGGACACAAACTAATGATTTTTCTGCTTCTGTCCAAATGGGAACGACCTTTATCCCTTTACGCACTTAGCCAATCAGAAGCTGACGGTGTTTCCTGCTGTTGCAGGAAATTTTGGGTTGTGGTATGGGTATTGTCCAAGGATTTCTACTGATTGCACCGTCCGCAATTAAAACTATCAATCTTGACACCTTTCGCTAAGAAAATATCCCCTAAATTAGTCGCTCCAGTATGGAAACCGCAAACGCAAATGTTTGCATACAAGTATGCAAAAGAATTACAAAATGAAACACCCAAATGTAAGGACGTATAATCTAAAACCTAAATGGGAATAAATTAAATATGGCGCTTTTGAAATATAAGTGGGGGACATATTTGTATCCGATCTAATAATAGCTCTTTTATATTCTTTGTTTTCTTCAGGTGGAACCTATCACCAAGATATCCTTGTTTGTGAAGACATTCCGTTTTAGCTATTATTGGTTCCGATATACCCAAGTTAGAGCTGTTAATATGCAGGGTACATTGGTAGACGTTAGTCTCCCTGTGACCCTGTCCTTCTGTAATGATACGCTGTGTGCTTCATTATCTGTTCGCCTGACCGCGCTAAGACTGGGAGGCCGCATTATCATTCGGCGGCCTCGATTGGTAATAAGGAGGGTGTGCCCCTTCAGGTGGGTGTGGATCCCACTTCGGAGGAGCGGATGGAGACGGGGAAGGAGATGGGTAAGGAGACGGAGGTGCAGGTCCCTTAGACGGTGGGTGTATGTAAACACGGTACACCTGCTCAGCGTATTGTACCCCACAGTCAACAGGAACGAGACACTGCTCCAGGTCTGCAACATGACGAAGAATGAAAGTATTTCAATTTCACCATCTTTGTCACCATCAACGTCGTTTTCACTATCTGCATCGATTTCCCTGTCGACCTCTGTATCAATTTCGCCAACTACATCGGCATCACCACCCGCGTCCCTATCTACATCGGCATTGCCATCCGCGTCCCTATCTATATCGGCATCACCATCCACATCCATACCTACATCGACTGCAACATCCACGCCCATATCTGCATTGGCATCACCACCCGCGTCCCTATCTATATCGGCATCGCCATTCACGTCCATATCTACATCGACTGAACCATCCGCGTCCTTATCTATATCGATTGCACCAACTTCATCAACACTTGTAATAGCAAGTAGCGCGTAAAAGTGTATAAACTGTGTCAACTGCTGGAACTGTTGCAGTCACACCGGCAATGCAATAAATACTGTCAACCTAAACTGCTGCTTACCAAACCTAACACCATTAAATACGTTATACGCAGGCGCATTCGACACTATGTAAAAAAAGTGGCTTTATGGATACCAAATAACGTAATACTTAAGACTGTGTTGCTCATTATTGATTGTGTTGAACAGTATACATTCATTATCAGTAGCCCAACAGTGGGATCCAGCCGTTTTTAAAGAGTGCATTTTTTAAAAAATAAAATTTGACCGTGTTACCTTTGTTCCTGTTTCCGTGACTGATAATCTTAAAACGCAATAAAATTGCTTGGTTGGTAACAAAGTGTTTCATGACTTTTTCTGCACGACTTCTTGAGACTTCGGTTGAGAACTGCCCATCACAGAAACATCTCTCCAACTAAGCCTACTTCCCAGTTCCAACCCCCCCTCCCCTTCCTCTGAATTTCACAGTGAGACCAAGCGCAATAAACCTTTCTTATGAAAATGACTTCTACCTCAATTAATGAATTAAACATCATTTCCCTATCAAAGGCCTCGCACTAAGGGCCCAAGATCGCGGCAAGTTACAGTAGAACCCCGGTAACTCGAACTCTGAAGAAGCGAAAAGCAGTTCCAGTTAGCAAGAGTTCGAGTTAAGGGAGTCGATTTCAAAATTTCAATTCGCCACATTAAAAATTGATAGCTATAACGATTTTTCAGCACTTTCGTGTTTAGTGCAATGCAAATTTGACTTATTTCATCAGAAACGGTAACATGATTGGGCGTTTTTTATGACTAATGCACCTATCAATGTAAATCCCGTGGGGGGGGCGGGCAAGGGGAGGGGATTTGATGCCTGGGACTATCCCCGCTGTCGGGCTTTTGATCGTGCGAAGCGACCCCGGGGTCGGGACATTTGACTTTGACCGACAGAAGCCTGGTATCAATTCAGAAGCAGTTACCAAGTCCGTCCCTCGAGGCTTCCTGAAAGTCACGTTGTTGGAGAAAGGTATGAAGTTTTCATTTGTTTTAATCGCCATAATCCGATACTTTAAACTGTCATCTAAACAGATAATGTCTATTTTGAGGAAGTTTTTATCTTCAAGTTCCCATCTGATTGTAAAACTCGATTGAAATCGAATTCCACCATGAAAGTCAGAGGATTTTTTATGGGTCACTGATCCGACCTGTTCCGACATGTTGAGCAGATGTTATAAAGTATTTTACGTTTCATTAATATTATATAACACGGTCAATTTTCCTGGAGTGATTTTGTTGTTCAAGATAAGAGATGCTAGTGGAGAGATAAAATACTTAATTACAGCGAGTAATATAATGGAGCTTCCGTTAACCGTAAATAAAAGTAGTAACGACGTGTTTGAAATGTTCTTTTATTCGCTTTATATAGTATTGTAGCATTGTTTGTTTAGATTTTTTCCCCTGGGGTGGGGGCTTTTTTGACACTTTTGATTGACCTTTCGTTTCCCACCCTGGGGAATTTGATCGAAAAATTTTAAAATTTGTCAAATCGCGACCCCTTGCCCGCACTCCCCCCTCCCCCACGGGGTTTACATTGATAGGTGCATAACGTGATCTGTTCGTTGCACCATCAAACTGATGTAGTGTTGACCAGTGTTTGTTTTAGTGTTTTTACCGATAATACAAAAAGAAGAGCTAATGGGATCACATCCGAGTGGAGTTCAAGAACCAGAATTCGAGTTATCGGGGTAAATTTCAGTGAATTCTTGATGAATTAAAGCTAGGGCCGAAAATAACATTTAGGTCGAGTTAGCGGTTAATTCGAGTTATCCGAGTGCGAGTTAACCGAGTGAAAAAAGGGGTCAAGGTGAACTCTCCTACAAAGAGAGACTGATCCATCTGGATCTGCTACCACTTACCTATAACAGCGAGGGCAAGGATTTAGTATTTCTTTATAGGGCCTTATATGGCTATATTGATATTGATATTAGTTTTATTAAGAGTGTTAGTCACGGCCATACTCGACGATCTCAATCAAGTGATCCTCCTTTTTTAATCGCAGTATTAAATTATGGAACCAAATATGTAAATTAATTCAGCCCAGTGACTTTCTAAACATAAAAACTTTTAAGAATAGTATATAACTAACTTGTACAAAGATGAATTGGCAAATGTCTTTGATCCCGATAAACCATGTTCATGGGGTCTTGCACGTAATTGTGGGTGCCAGTGCTAACAATAGTTTAATAAGCATTTCTTAAGATTTTTACCGATTTAGTGCACCCTTACCATCTGGTCTTTTTTTTTTCCGTTACTGTAACTATTTATTTAGAGAGACTCAGACCAATAAAGTTGATAAAACAAAACAAAAACAAAACAACAGTGCCGATATTTCATATTTCGATGATTTATGCCAATGATAATAATAATAATAATAATAATAATAATAATAATAATAATAATAATAATAATAATAATAATATGTTTATATAGCTTCTTTTCCCAGTGGTCCAAAAACGCTTCACAGAAGGCAAATCATAATTAAAAACAACAAATTCCCTAACTATGTCTATAAAAATAAAATATTATTTATATAAAGTATAAATAACAATAAAAATTCAATGTTCCATGTAAATCTGTAAAACTTAAATGTTCCTTAAGTTTCCGTTTAAAAGTTTCGACCGATTGCAAGTCTCTTACTGACTGTGGAAGGAAGTTCCACAACACTGCTGACGCCATAGACTCCAAAACAGCCGGTTTTTTTTTTTTTCTCAAAATCAGTAAAGAAATCGGTAAAGCATAGCCTAAGAGTCTTACGCGAGCAAAACGCGCAAGCTTCACACGCCCTACGGGCGTGTGGCGTGTGTGTGTCTCCCCAGTCTCGCTCACTGTTTTCAGCCTTGTTCAGAGCGTTTTGTTTGACTGCTCGCGCGTACTTGAATACGCAAAAATAAGAACCATTTTGCAGTCTGATCTACTGACCGTAAAGGCAAACGACTGACCATCGTAGGACTTAAGATTGTACACGGGTATCTTTAAAAGGTTTTTGGAGAATGAGCGATGTGATCTTGAAGGTGCATAGGATATAAGAAGATCTGTTAAATAAGTTGGAGCTTGCTTGTTGAGTGCTTTAAATGTAATTAGAAGAGTCTTAAATTCTCTCCGTTGTTGGATGGGTAGCCAATGGAGTTCCTTGAGGAGAGGCGCTATGTGATTATATCTGTTAGATTTTAAACACTATTCTCGCAGCGCAGTTTGTACTCGTTGGAGCCTTCGCAATAAATATTTGGGAACGCTATGCAGCAAGGAGTTGCAATTATCAACCTTTGAAGTAACAGAGGCAGGTACTTGGGTTTTCGTATTTTAGGTGTTGAGAAACCCCCTAGCTAATCTTGGAGATGTTACGCAGGTGAAAAAAAAACCCGCAGATTTACACACCACTGTTATGTGAGGAACCATTGACAGAGCCATTATCGAGAGTGACACCGATGTCCTTTGCAGTGGAGGAACAGTTAACCACCTCATCAACAATGGTCAGATTACCGATGTTTGGTCTTGGAAGCGGTAAAAACCAGCACCTCCGTTTTATCCTTGTTTAGCTTGAGTCGATTATGTACCATTCAAAGATCGATATCACGAACGCAGGCCTCCATCGAGGTCTTGCCCCGATCCGCATCATTTGTACTGTTTGTACAGCATGTTTTAAATAATATGTACAGTTGCAAGTCATCTGCATAGAAATGGTAATTCATTTGATGCTGCTTGGAGAAGTGTATAAAGAATTCAATATCGGACCCAAAACTGAACCTTGAGGGACACCTTGAGTGAGATATAATGAATTCGATGAGGTGTCATTTACTTTCGTATATTGCGCACGGTCAGACAAATATGAGACAAACCAGTCTAACGCCCTACCACGAATCCCAAAATGAGTAGAACGCCTCCGTATTAAAATCGTATGGTCAACAGTGTCAAATGCTGCAGATAAATCAAGAAGAACGAGGATGACTGAATGACCACTATCAATCGCGGTAACAACATCATTATGAAATTTTATTAATGCCGTCTCTGTGCTATGGAATTTCTTGTATGCAGACTGTAAGGCTTCATAAAGAATATTTCAAAACAATTTAACCGTCGCGCAAAGCTGCCTGGATGTATTAGTAAATAGGCTATTTCCGTGTTCCAAAAACTCTCACTTTCAAAAGGAGGTGAGTTTTCTGTGCTTGAGAATGAAAAAATAATTTTCATATCTATGGTTTCCTACTTAGCCTCGCTATGAAACAGAGGCTTGAGGCAACTCGAGAATGGCCTAATATTGGCTTTAAACAATTTTTCTGAGTAGGGAATTCTGTAAGTTGTGCGCCTGTCAGTATCTTTAGAGCAAGTCGGTAACCAGGGTTTCATAACGTTTAAGATTTATGGTTTGTTTGCAAGGACGTTTAATTTGCTGCGAAATAAGGTTGAAGGTCTAGTTGTTTCCCCATTTATGAATTTCAGTCAGTGTGTAACCGCAAACATCACAGCTGAGATCAAGGTGATTAAAACCCAGACCAAGCACGGTAAAAGAGCTTTCTCTGTACCGCGCCGCGCATCGAACCTTGCAGTCTAAGGTTAACGGTTTTCGTAAGTTTTATCCCTAAGTTAACAAAACTCATCTTTTAGGGACCAGATGTGTGAAAATAATGACGCTCATTTAAGCGCTTTCATAAATGACAGAACTAAGCTTGGACGTAAGCTTAACTTTTCAGTTGACAAAACTTGGCAATATCTCTAGGTAGCTTTGAAACTTCTTGATGCGGCTGTAGCTGGTCCAAATGAAAGAAACAAGAAAGAGGAAGACAAAGTCCGGAAAATGAAAGGGAAATCCCTAAGGACTTCATGAACGAACTTATTACAAAGAATCATTCAATGCTCTAAATGCTACAGCTACATCTACAGTTACGTCCGTGACACCTCATAAAGAAAACCCAGAAATCAACTGTATGATCTATTTAATGAGTATTTGTGAAAGATGTATATTAAATAAACCATATAAGAACTGTGGAAATGAAAACAAATGAAGAATGATCCTAGCAGCTGTGAACACAATTTATGTAACTGCGTAAGTAAACCTGAAAACAATTCAGGACTTCAACGGGATATGAACCCGTGACACCATCACCCGATACCGGTGTGATGCTGTAACCAACTGAGCTATGAAGCCACTGATGTTGGGAGCTGGTCAATTATGTGTTCATATGTTCTCGTGAAAGAGATGAATTTGAAAGATGTATATGAAATAAATCATATAGGAACTGCAGAAATGAAAACAAATGAAGAATGATCGTCGCAGTTGTGAACGTAATTTATGCAATTGCGTAAGAAGCCTGTTTCATTTGTTAATAAGTACTGTATGAAATTCAAGCTTGCATGCAAGCAGTTACATAATCTTACATATGCTGTGCTGGAGACCGAGCCTAGGGTCAGGGGCACCCAACGAGAATATAGTTCAAAACCACTTAAACATAGCACTGTTAAACGTATTTTAGTATTTAAACGGTAGATATAGGCATATTTTTATCCCCTAAAAATTTTTCATCTATTCGGTTTTCCTAGCTGAAAGCCTAGTGATCCGAAAATTATAGGGATCAAAACTTACCATTTCGAAAATTTCAGCCAGAAAAAAGGCTCCCGAAAATTCTAGGTGACCTTTTTAGGGTAAAAATCCGTTAAAAATAGGCAGTTATACCATTTTTTTGATGTTCGAAAATCATAGGAGAGGCAGGCAAACAAGAAATTTTACAAAAAATGTTTCGAAAATTCTAGATCTTAAATCGTCTTCCGAACAGATATTCTTCCGAAAATTGTCGTTGGGTGCCCCTGTAGGGTTGGATGACACAGGTAACTAAAGCAGCTAACCAAAATTCTGGTTAGCCTGTGGCTCCTCGACCCAGGTCTCTTCAGAAATCTTGCAGCTCTGCAGCCCATATTAGTGCCTGCGAGTTTTTCTCCCGGCTTTTTGCCTTTTAATTTATACATCCTCAACACATTTCCTTGTTTTCCCGGAAAGACACGGATTTTTGGATAAATTGAGGAACAAAATCTGTTTAGAGAGAATTCGTGGAGCTTATAATCCTGTATAAACATCGGTTACCGACTCTGTCAGCTGTATGGGACATGCCCTCTACCAAACAGGCAGAAAAAGATCGCTTGATCAACGAACTTCCGAAGGTAAGAGAGTCATTCTATTCCACTTGCTGCCTCGCAGCATGATAAAGCTTTTAAGATGCGTTTGTTATGGTTTGCGTTAAAAATGAAGAAAGTTGCAACTTGGTCAAAGCAAGCTAGGCAAGGAAATGTCCAACTATTTTTAACTATTTTTGATTATTATCTGTTAAATGATCTACATCACAGTTTATATTCAATTTGTTGCTACTCTTAGCTCACAGTTGAATATCAGGAATTTTGCTTCACGGTTATGGTAAATTCAATTGTTCATGGTTCTTTCATGTGGGCCATTTAAAATGTACAGATGTCCACTCAGGGGCACCCAACGAGAATATAGTCAAACCCACTTAAACATAGAATTGTTAAACGTTTTTTAGTATTTAAACGGTAGATATACGCATATTTTTATCCCCTAAAAATGTTTCATCTGTTCGGATTTCCTAGCTGAAAGTCAATTGATCCGAAAATTATAGGGATCAAAACTTACCTTTTCGAAAATTTCAGCCAGAAAAAAGGCTCCCGAAAATTCTAGGTGACCTTTTTAGGGTAAAAATCCATTAAAAATAGGCAATTATACCATTTTTTAGATGTTCGAAAATCCTAGGAGAGGCAGGCAGGCAAGAAATTTTACAACAAATGTTCCGAAAATTCTAGATCTCAAATCGTCTTCCGAACAGATATTTTTCCGAAAACTGTGGTTGGGTGCCCTGTCCACTGAAGTTTACTTTTCTGTAATTAATTTTATATTGAAATAAGGACCAGTCTGCATAGCATTTGCTATTACAACTGCATACTTAAGTTTTATTTTCCTTTGGTTAAGCTTTTCTTACAACCCCATTCGTTAATTATGCATGTAGCGATTACATACTATTTCACACAATTAATAGTTACACAAATAGAGTTGAAAAATGTTTGCATAATAAATGAACGGGGCTGTACGGAAATCTTACTTTTTCCGTCTTTTCTCAGTTTTAACATGCCTATTGTGCACACCAAAATTTTGGCATTACATGCAGCTCAAACCCTATTAGGATGGCACTGAGAAACTATAGAATTTAATAGTATAGCAGTCTAACAGCTCAGTTGCACCCACTGAGCACATGGAACAAAATTACCTCTGCAAGTGCAGATAATTCTTTTTAAGTTCTACCATGAATAGAATATAAAGGAGGAAAACTAACACTCCAAGTCCCAATTGTTTAAATGTTGAATAGGGACACCTACCCGATACATCACAACTGGGGCCTGTAAGATGTGTATTTAAGATCAATGTAACAGCTCTTTGACAATCAAAATTATTCACTAATTTTGAGGTTTGCAGGGAAATGTGATGTTTGGGGGTGGGGCATGGGACCTCCTAGTATTGTTATACGCACTATTTCAATAGAAGCACTGATTATTGGAGTAAAGCACTGAGTGTTTTATACATCTGAGCATACCATCCTGCATACACATGTATTACATGAATAACTTTATCCAACATCCTTAAATCATAAATGGGCATGCTTGAAAGCATCTGTATTATTTACCTGTGCAAAGTACATATTGTTTAAGCAATAGAAAACATTTTCCGTGTTTGCATAGCTTGATATAAACACGAGAGGGGTTGGGAGAATTTGAGACAGTTATGCATAACGAGGGTTTGCATAACTGTCGAGAATTCTCCCAATCCCTCTCGTGTTCATATCAGGATATGTAAACACAGAAAAAAGGTGGCTATTGCTTTTATAAAATAACTTTCCTGAGAAAAAAAGCAAAACTGTCTTGTTTAGAGCACTGATGAAAAGACAAATTCTTACCAGTCGCGAAGTCTTGTACACAAAGCTTGTACGCGTAATCAGTCCTTGTTTTGCAAAAAACATGCTTTCCAAAATACGGTTTTTTTCTCGCTTAAAATGTCAGCTCAAGCGAAAAAAAATTGACACAGCATGTTTCTAAAGATTTTCCAAGTTTCAGCTGACGAGGAAATGGGTGAATAAAGTAAACTTGTCGAGGTTTTCAACTCAAAACCTTTTTCAAATTCATGCTTGTGTGATTAGCGTGCAAAAAGCAAAACATCTTGATGTGACAATAAGTTTACATACTCTCATGCAAACACGCCTCTCGGCCAATCAGAGCACGCGTACTATCTTAGTTATTTTATAAACTGTAATATGTTTGATCAAATTCAGTTTTAACCTGTTGATTAAGGGTGGCTTATCTTTTCCTTGATGTAGTTCTATGCAGCAGATGCAGCACCGAGACAGGCTCTTCATTTTCATTCAAAAGTTAGGGAGGCATGCTCCACAGGAAACACTGGAAATATATCGTAAGTCTACCCTTAAAGAGGAACAGAATATCTTTTACACGAGTTCATATACAATGTGGAGGTTGTTTAATACTGAGTCACAGAATGATAGTGAAAATATTATACACAAGATGAAATAGACCATCTCTTTAATTCAATTGTGATCCCTAAGTTATTATACGGTCTTTCAGTTTATGCTGCAAGTGTTTCCGAACTTACTGTTATACAAAGGTTTTTAAAAAGATGCTATAAGAGGCGTTATACGTCGGTTAATTACAACATATATGAACTTCTGGAGAAAAGTGACAGGCGCCTTTTTTATAACCTCAAACACGATGACCATCCATTAAAAGGCTTGCTCCCAAGGTACAAAGACTGTATTGTAAACCTTCGTAGGAAATCCATTGTTAGGCCCAGCATTAACACTGAACGTTTCAAAGATAGCTTTTTTAATAGATTGATTTTTAAATATAATCTAGCTGTGTAAATACCCCATATGTATTTTTAATCAATTTAATCTTCTTTTTTTATTTATTCATCTTGATCATTGTAATTTTTTTTCTGTCAATATATATTTTTACTGTAACATCAGATATGTAATTTTATCGGATGCTTTTTAATAAAGACGTTGTTATTATTATTATTATTATTATTATTATTGAAATGTTATCTGTAAATGAGTGGAAATATTAGTGTTATTAATAACACTATTCATGCAAAGATCTTCCTTTTCCAATTCAATCATCACTCTTTTTGTTTCTTTTGATTTTCAAGTTTTCATTGGCCAGTTAATTCATAATGGTGTTTAACAATAAATACCATATCATAAGAAAGTTCTTTGAATAGATTGTCTACTCTGGAAAGGCTTTATGTACTGTACTCAACTTTGTGCTATCATAGAGTCAGCTCTGGACATCCCATACACACAGTTTCTTTGAATACCTTATTGGCACTTTATTCTGTGGGTCTTTAATGTTGTGATTGTAAAAAAAAATTGAGAAATTAAAGACCCGCGAAATTAAATCCTTGTGAATTTAATCACGCAAAATTTAACAGCCATATAGAAAATTTACACTGTAAGTACCTGTGAATACCCATTAAATTAATTACCAATAAGACAATTATTTTTACTATATCCTTCCTTGCAGTGATTATGATGATGATGATAAACTTTATTCATGTGTCGATATATTTAGCTGACGCTAACTGGGGACACAACATAAAGATAAAATATATAATGAATAATATGATAAATAATAGATAAGAAATAAAAAAGCTTTAAAAAAAGCTATTGTATAATTTACAATATGCTAAAATAATAAAAACAATTCTAGGAACACGGGCACAGCTTAAGAGGTACAAATTATGTACGCGGAGCAATTGTTGCCATTTATCAGTTCAGGAAGATCCTTACATCTAATATGAAACTTAAACCTAGATAGGCTGCTCATTTCAGTGATGTTTTTATCTAGCTTGTTCCATAAAAAGGGTCCAAGATATCTAAGAGACTGTTTACCATTCAATACAGAATTAAATCTAGGAATATCAAAATTTTGATTTCTAAAATTATATTTACAAGACTTAGTACTGAAAATGTCACAAATGAAATCAGGAACTAGCCTATATTTAACTTTGTACATGAGTATAACTATGTCTGGTAATCTCCTATTAAGAGGGCTTGGTAGTTTAGCACAATCTAATAAGTTCATATACATTTCTGAATGTGAGTTATAAACTATCCTTATAGTGCCCGCTCTTGAATTCTTTCAACCTTTCTTGTATCCGACGCATTACAGAAATGCCATGTGAGATGACAATAGGTGAGATATGGCATGATAGCAGTTTTATAAACTAATAGTTTAGTCTCCTTAGTAATTAGGTTTAGTCTCCATAGTAATTAAGTCTTATCACTTAAATGCAATTTGCAGGTAATTACATTTTATAATAATTTGTGAAACTGTACATTACTATTCTTATTATGATTAATCGTAAAATGTGATCAAAATTTCTATACAACTGCAGCAAATCCACACAGCGATGATGGTGTTGAAGGGTTTCTTCTTTTTTTCCTTTTTACCACTAATAGACTGAAGGTGGCCAAATCAATCATTGTTGGTGACAGTGGCGTTGGAAAAACATGTCTAGTGAACAGGTTGGTCTATGAATTCAGCTGTACATGTATTGTATAAACTGTGAAGTGACAGTGTACTCTGGTTTTAATTTTTTAAAACCTTGCAAACCGGTGCATGACACTCCTTGGTGGTATGTGGCTGATTGTTAGATACAGTAGATGCACCCAGAATACAGTCTATATATACCACTGACAGTAAAAATATATATCCTTAAACCATGCCCTCCCTAATTTCTCTCCCTAATTCTCTATCTATCTCTCCTAACTCCTTACCCCCGCTGCACCCCCATAAACAAAAAAAAGAAAAAATGCTTGATCATAGGTCTAGTTAAGTACATTTCTCAAGTTGACAGTGAGTGTTTGTTTGGCAGGTACTGTCGTAACTTATTTGACAGAGACTACAAAGCAACCATTGGCGTAGATTTTGAGGTTGAACGATTCATGATTCTTGATCAAGAGTTTAACATGCAAATGTAAGAAGCACATCAAAATTCCGTACCTTGTTGTTGTTGTTGTTCAAGAAAAAAAGCATATAATTCTCTTACTTTTTTCAAGTAGCTGTCATTATGCAGTAAAGGATTGTTTTGACACATTGCTATGATCACTTAATCACTAGGTTCACCAAGCAAATACCTTTTGTGGGGTTTTAATTATTTTAGGGATTTCAATAGGCAAATATGAAAAAGGGCTTTAATTTTCCAGAATATTAAAATTTCAAGATTTTACATGCAGAATCGCAAACTTTCGAAATCTGACATGCAGGATTATTTATAGATTTAACATACAGAATATTGAAATTTCAAGATTTGATATGCATTAATATCTTGAAATTTCACAATTTGACATGCAGAACATTGAAATTTGAAGATTTGTCATGAAAAATAATATTATATTGAAATTTCAACATAATTTTTAGTAGTCATAGCAACCAAACAATCATACACTATTTATGGAAACCAACCTTAAGTTAAACAGAATGCACAAATTCAAATGCAAGCACTGTGGCTGTTTTATATAATATACACTTTGAATCATACAGTTAGAGTTATGTAGCAAATCACATATCGTTTGGTTTTGGTGAAATGTAATGATATGAGCATCACTGCATGTTGCAGTTGGGATACAGCTGGGCAAGAAAGATTCAAGTGCATGGCAGCATCTTATTACAGAGGTGCTCATGGTATGTTATATAAATAGAAAACTGAGCAGTCAAAGAATTCAACTGGTCTGAACACATTAGGGGAGCTTAAGGAAAGACGTTTTTGACAGACACATGTCAACCAGAAGTCGCCTTCCCCCGCCTTTTAATATCCCTTGAGGCTACCAATTTTTTATTGCTCGGTTTGTTTCTCTTCCATAGAGACAATCTGCTCAAAAATTTAGGCAAAACCACTGCCAAAGAATGCAAAAACTGCACTTCCAGTTGACATGTGTCACTCACAAACGTCTTTGCTACCCTATACTAGAGTAAACTCCCCAAATCCCCCTTATCCTAGAATAGCTGCTTTCCAGAAACTACTGAGGTCACCAGCACAGTAGTCTAGCCAAAACAAAACCTAGTTATTCCACAATCCCGAGTCTAAATAAGATCTTCAACCAACTGATCAGTTTCCTGAAAAATGATACCCTATTCCAGACCTAAACGCTCTGATTTATATACCCTATCCCAGAGTAAACTGCTTGAAAACCATACCCTTCACAGCGGCACATACCTATATAGCCCATATATGGCAGTCCCCCCCACCCCAGGGTCTTTGCTTAAGCTCTCTATTGATTTCAGTCTTCTAAGTCAAGACAAAGTTGTCACTGAGTAGCTCCTAGAGCCAGCCTGTCCTCTAAGAGAAATTGAAGGGAGCACAAGTGTCATCAAAGAGCTAATTGTGAAAAATAAGACATTCAATCAATGGTGATGCAGTGGTGAAAGCACTCACCTTCCACTAATGTGGCCCAGGTGCAAATTCCATGGTCAATACCATGGTTGACTTTGTTGTTGGTTCTCTCCTTTGCTCAAAGAGCTTTTTTTCTCTGGGTTCTCCGGTTTTCTCATCTCCTCAAAAACCAACATTTCCTCATTCCAGCTGTTTGATCAGGAATCAGGTAACCAACGAACTACTGAGAGGATGTGCTACTTCTAAGTCATTATTTATTTCAATAATTATACATTTATTTATTTATTCATTTCTTTAATATTGTTCATGTATGTACACTTATAGTTTTTTCATTTTCTTGCAGTTATTGTTTTAGTGTTTGAGCTGACAAACGTCAAGTCCCTCTACAATACAAAGTAAAGTAATTCTCTTTGCTCTCTGATGTTGTTGTAATTTTGTAAATTAGCTTACTTTTGTTTGGTTGTTTATAAAAGCACGTACATTAAAGGTCTCACAACGTTTTCTTGTGTTATTCAGACAATGGCTGGAAGAGGCTTTGGAGCAAAACTCAACGACATTTCCTGAAATTTTCCTGGTTGGTTCAAAAAAAGATCTGTGTGTAAGTATCTTTCTTTCCTTTTTCTTTAATATGCTTATTTAGACGTTCATATAAAGGATAAAGATGAGGATCCAAAGCCTTCTTAAAGATAATGACTAGAGCCATTTGCTTTGCTACTGACTCAGAATCCTGGTTCTTTTTTCAACTGTAGAAAGCTAGTGATGTTTCTCAGATGGAGATGAAGGCTTTAAAAGTGGCGGAAGAGTTAAATGCTGAATACTGGAGTGTTTCTGCTAAATCAGGTGCTTATATCTGTTATTATATTACCAATAAAGCATGCTCATAGAGGACTGTGTAACGCAAGGGCGGAGGGTGGGAGGTTAACATAAACTCTTCAGCAGTGGCATCGATATTCTCTCGTTCCTATTACGAATTCGTTTAGACTTAAGGTATGTTGAATGTTGTTAATATTAGCCTCAGTTAAAATAAGAGAAACAGAACTGACGAGGCCATTTTCGAGTTCCAAAAACGCTCTTTTCAAAACGAGGCTAACTTATGGTTCTATTCCCCGATAAACGTTTGAGTTATATATTTTATATATTTTTATGCATTTTATGCTCCTTTTCCTTTTTTCCCTTCGACGCGAAGATCAGTTTGCTTTTCTTTCTTCTATTTTTCTTATCCCGAAAATCACGAGGACATGACCGGCGTTGTCATGGCAAATGATTCCTTTTCGGATCTTCTGTTTTTTGGTAATGAAGCACGGTATCAGCGGTACCCAACGTCAATTTTCGGAAAATATCTGTTCGGAAGACGATTCTGAGATCTAGAATTTTCGAAACATTTTTTGTACAATTTGTTGCTTGCCTGCCTCTCCTAGGATTTTCGAACATATAAAAAATGGTATAAGGTCACCTAGAATTTTCGGGAGCCTTTTTTCTGGCTAAAATTTTCGAAAAGGTAAGTTTTGTTCCCTATAATTTTCGGATCACTAAACTGTCAGCTAGGAGATCCGAACAGATGAAAAATTTTTAGGGGATAAGAATATGCCTATATCTACCGTATAAACGGTAAAACACGTTTAACAATGCTATGTTTAAATGGTTTTGAACTATATTCTCGTTGGGTGCCCCTGCGGTATCCATATGATCTGAGATCACCAATCTCTCTTTGTATTCTCCCCAAAAACGCACCCTATGATTGTTGCTATTTTCACATTGCAAGATTTTCTGGCGATCTTTACAGGACCAAGGTTGACAATACAACTGGGTCGTATATTTTTACGTCTGCTACTGGAGACCGGGCCGCCATTTTACGTGATCGTCTTAGCCAAGCGAATTTCGAACCGTTGGCAGAGCAAAGGCAGTATCTTCATTCCTCAGTTATTTTAAGACCCTGAGTATTGGTACTAACCCGGAAGTCGAACCGTTCACCTCCCCCTCTGAAGTGAAGCGCTCTACCAATTGAGCTAATCCTACCGCGGTAGATGGATGTAGACTGTTTACGTGCAAATATATGTTTTAGAAAACCAGTTAAAAAGCTACGTTTCCATATCACTAACGGAAAATAAGAACACGACCAAAATAATTTTCCGATACTTGTTTTCCTCAAGAAGTATCCGACTTTTTTTTCGCAAATTTGGCTCAAGGCATTACCTGCACCCACCCTTTGAAACCGTTATCACGAAGCACGAATGCGTGATTAAAGACGGTGACGGTATTTAACTCTTAACGCCCAATAGCCACGTGCAAATTCTCCAGGCCGACCTCCTTACACTTCCTTAAAGAATAAGTTGAGTGAATTTAATAAGCGACGAAAGCATTTTCCCTTGGGTGATCATTGTGTTAATTCTAATAACCTTTAATCTTTATGATATGTGGATATTGTATGGAGAAAACTGACGTTGGTCAGTCTTGGGACTTAAAGAGTTGTAATATGCTCCTAGGTGAAAATGTGAAGGAGTTTTTCCGTCGTGTGGCAGCAATAACATTTGAGCAGGCGATTCTGCGAGAGCTTGAGTCCCAGGATGCGAGAACAGGCAAACTGCAAATCGGGTCAGGAGGTGTTCTAAGTGAGTAGTATGTGTATCTATCTAACTATTAGCAGTATGGCCTTTTCATTTACATATTTCTTTGCCTTGCAAGAGCAGGAACAACGTCCGTGCAGTGCAATATACTTGCTACGCAATTATACAGTGGGAAGCACGGTAGCACTGTGATAAGTGCGCCGGTCTCGGAATCGAGAGGTCCGGGTCGAGCTGCGCGTGACATTTTACCCTCTAAGTGTCCGACTCCAGCCAGATGAATGAATGCATAACTGGGTGCTGGCAAATTTGATGCTACGATCTATGAGCATCCCGTCCAGGGGGGAGTAGAACTATTCCTATTCCCTTAATGCTATGGAAAGCTGGTTAGCTTAAGTTCTAGCCTGATGGACTACTTGGCCTGAAACCAGACCTTTTTTTCCTTACAACAAATTAACATTGCCTTGCTTTCGGCCTTAGAGTTCGTAAGTGAAAGCAAGCTGTGTGCAAACAGTCTGTTTGCGAGAATTGTTTTGTGGTTACTTTGTAAGTTACGCCTTATGCCCTTTTAAAACCTCACACTATTATAAGTGCAGCAAATATATTTGACGAAGGGACGGGGCTATTTCATTGTAGGAGTTGAGAAGAAAAAGAAAGAAGAAGAAAAGCCGCAAAAATCAAAATGCTGTTCTGGGGGTCGTGGACTTTAACCCCGAAAGGCATGCGCAACTAATATCAACACAGCTGGTCTGTGATATTGAGGGCGCATGCGCGTGTTAACCCAGAAGTGATTGGTGATGATGAACGATACTCAATTCTGCGATGAAAATTAAAAACTACAGAGAAGAAATTTACAACAGTGCTACCAGCTATGATCTCAGCATCTAATTGCTATAATTATCGCTTCTATGTTCTTGCAAATGCGCAGTGATGTTGTAAGTGCGCTGGGAATGTGCGTATGTCAGCTCATTTGCCTTTGATGCTTTCCAAATGAAAACACAGACTCGCAACAAATGGAGATACTCAACTACACAGATCTCCCAGTCGTTTGTAATCAAAATGTTAACATAACAGAAATATAAATATAATAAAACAATTCGTATGAGAGAAACAAATGAATGACGGTACAAATTGTGTCATTGTGTAAATAAAATACAAAATGTCGCTTACTTGAATATCCCTTTTACTTATAATGACACAGACCTTTTCAGTTTGAGCGCTGTGCCTGGGTCCGGGTTGTGTGACTCTGATCAGATTGCACTATGGAACCTGGGTCCAAGTTGTGTTGGATTGCACTATGGAACCACATGTATTTCTTGAAATGTTTTTGGGAGACTTTCGCTTCTTTTATTGGCCATTACGAGGTTGCACAGGAGACTTGGGCAAAAGTCGTCCCCTCAAAACAATCCCGCAATGTAATTGAAAGCAACCTCAAAATGGCCGACAGCAATCCCACTGCTTGCCTCCGCCTCTCTCTCAGTTATCAATCTGGGCGACAGTGCAAAGCCCATATTTGTTTTCGTTTGTAAACATAACTCGCAGGAATTGATGATCGGTGCTAATTATTTGAAACATGTTTTACAGTTTTACCTAACCACTTAACATATGAATTAGCCTTGAAAACCAAGAAAACTTTCAAGCGATATGTTTCATTCAAATGGACCTAGTTGCAATATACTTAACACCATTTTAGATAGGTACAATCCGGTCATGTTAAGTAATAGGCTCTCTGATAGCCAACGACCTTGTGTTCTACTACTGACTTGCGCTACTCTTACATTGAACATCAATTGCTGCTTGTGTTATATAAATGCGGTTGGATGGAGCGTTAGATCGATGTCTTTTGATTATCCTCGATAGTTTCCATCTAGTATTTTATTTGTGTGCAATTCTATTTTTCTGAAACCAGCTCGACAAATAGAATGCACAAATATGGAATCAGATTCAGACACCAATCTGAAAGACCCACTTTTAATAGGGTAGCACAGTGGTGAGAGCACTCGCCTCCCACCAATGTGGCCAGGGTTCGAACCCCGGCGTCGACGCCATATGTGGGTTGATTTTGTTGTTGGTACTGTCCCTTGCTACAAGAGGTTTTTCTCCGGGTACTCCGGTTCTCCCCTCTCCTTAAAAAACAACACTTCCAAATGCCTATTCGATCTGGAACGCACGAACACGTTTCAACGAGTTCTAAATGTTCCGTGGGGAAACAAATTACAATTTTTTTTTACATTCCAAATAAACGATGTGATTCAATTAGAACAGATTGGTGGAATGAATGTTCACGAACCAAAAAGTATGTCTTGCAAGCGAGGCGCTCGCATGAAAATTGCCACAAACGTCACGATACCCGTAATTATAGAGACCCACAGCAACGCTCGATCCAGGACTCGCGCGGCCATGACCCACTCCCACTGTCTAAAGGTCAACTCGTCCTCCTCCAGTTCCTCGCCATTCTCATCCAAGACTCCCGTGAATGGCACTTCCATCTCATCCCATACCTCCTCATATTCAGCATTGCTAAGGACTAAATTACCAGGACCGTGGCCATTTAATTCACTGGACGTGATGGAGTTTGCATAACGCATGCCACCGCAGTCAAGGTTTTTTGATACTATAAAGACGTTATTCAACTCTTCAACTAGCCGGTCGTCCCTTTTTTCTTTGGAACTAGCTTCATCGAAAATCATCTGTGCAACAGATCCATTTTGTCTGGCACCTGGGGCGTTTCTTCTCATATGCTGCCTCACGCTCTTGCCTCGCATCGATCTTCTGCGTCTGTTGGGTTTAGGACAGCTTCGTTCCACGGTGTTTCTCAGGAAAACAACACGCGCCAACCACTTTAACAGTAGTTTACGCAACCAACTTGGCATCTTCTTGTTTTTGCTGGCCGTGAAGTTCAAAACAATCGTTGTTGCCACCAACGAAAAGCTTATTTCAACGCTTGTAGCAAAATAGTACTGACCGAGGAGTGGGAAATCAAACGAGGGGAAAATGTTTGCTGTTAATTGCTGGAAGACAGTCATGGCAAGAAGTACCGTTATGCTCAAACCAATTCTTTCCCCGCACTCTGGTGGAAGAATAAATCCCAGAAATATCATGGTTGAAATGAGAAAGCATGGGACAATCAGGTTCACAAAGTAAGTAAAGTACACACGGGCTATCACCAAGGTGAGAGTGATGTCATCATATGGCCCATTTTTGTACTGAAAGACATTTTTTTCGGATGCGACTCTGATGAGTTGCCATTCACCATTGTTCACGTACTCTTTTGATATAGTCGATTTATTCATTGGTCTTGTCGACAATTTTATTTCCTGACTGCCTGAAGACCAAGAACCAAATTTGAGATGACAGGTCTGCATGTCGAATGGAAAGTAAGTGATATCTATAGCGCAGGCGGTTTGAAAGAGGGCTGGGCAAAACCAGTAGCTGTCTCCATTTGATCGCGTGATAACATTTGTTTTATATGAAGTCGGTCCGCCCCCAATGCGGTCTAGGAAGTCAATGCTAGTAAGATTGAAAGCAGAAATAACCGTATAACTATGTTATTGTTAAGCTTGTTTGTAAAAGTAAGTACAGTGCAGGAAAGCTCGTAGAAGCGTCCATCTGTCTAGGATTAAAAATATACTATACAAACAAATGCTGCTTATCACTAACCTTCAAGCCTGTCAACCTAGGCGCGCAGATGGAAGGGATGGTACAAAGAGTGGTGAGCAAGAAAAACAGAGAGGTGCGGGGTATAGGGCTGAGATCTAAGGTTCCCCGCCTCGTCTCTCCCTCTCCCTCTCTCTCCCTCTCCTCTCCCTCTCCCTCTCCCTCTCCCTCCCCTCCCTCCCCTCTCCCCTCTCCCCTCCCCTCTCCCTCTCCCTCTCCCTCTCTCTCTCTCTCTCCCTCTCCCTCTCCCCCTCCCCCTCTCCGTCTCCCTCCCCCTACCCCTCTCCGTCTCCCTCTCCCTACCCCTCTCTCTCTCCCTCTCTTCCTACTTATTTTTTTCCCAAACTCTGACTTCGAACCTCATTCCACTATCTGAACGCCTGGAACGGGCTAACGGTAAGAGTGGACCGAAGGCTGCAGTGCTTGCAACGTAAGCCCACAAATGGCTGCCATTTTACAACCATCCTGTCTCCTGCCTGTTCTTCTCTTACAAAGAGCACTCTGACGACTTTTTTCTCTTTCATTGTGTGTTTTCAGGACTATTTTGGGTCCTCGCTGGAGACGGGATCGTCTCTTGTGCGCATTCTGAGCCTTGTCTTTAAGGCAACGGCAATGCCGTTTTCATCAGTTATTTTAAGGAGAGTATTGTTCGAGTCCTGGAAATCAAACCCGCGTCCTTCCTTTCTGTAAGCAAGCATTGTGTTAAATGAGGTGCCCCAGCTGTAGTTTGCACTCAGTGTCAAATATCGTTGCGTCGGAGGGTTTATGCTGACTATCTGGCCTTCGGCCTTAAGGGTTAGGAGAGAGGAGATTGCAGAGGTGGGTGGGGGAAGGGAAGAGAGAGGAGGTTTCTCTCCTTTTTGCCTTTCCCTCTTTTCCTTTACGGAGGGTTTGTAAAGGAGGCAGAATAAAGGGGTTGGCTTGTCCTGTGTGCGTGCGGATGTTATTGCTACTTTTCTTACTTGTAGTACATGAGTATGTCCGGTACCCAGACCTTGTCGGCACTCGTTTGAATGGACTTAATACCACCATACTCAGATGCGTTCCACTGGAGTAACGGATTGTGCCATTTCTTGGAGAGAGAAAGATACATTAACTCATGCATTTGACCGTTATTACTAATTATTCCCCTCTTAAAACCGCACAAATTATAGCCTAGAAAGAATCCGTATGTTTTATTTATAGCTACTTCTTTACGGTAATCAAACAATTGCCTCGCCTTTGGTGAGTGTTTTATCAGCGTTACGTTATTCAAAAGTCTGTAAGCTTAGTTTTAAATTGAAATGCTAAATGTTACCTGTTCGGTCCAACCATAAACTGTAATTGTCTGATCCTTGGCATTCTGTGGGAAGAAGAAAAAGAAAAAGGCAGATAAGTAGCATCAACTCTCAGAGGAGACGAAAATCAAGATTTGTTTCAATTCCTTACTGAAAATACTAGAAAAGCAATGTCACCAGAATAGCTAAAAGTCAGCTGAAAGGTACCTCTAAAATGTTATACCTTAAACTGCCGCTTATAAGCCCTGGGGCCCGTTTCTCGAAAGTCCCGATAATTAACGGGCCGCAAAGCTGTTGTTGTTGACATGCAAGATAGACGTTTCAATAGTTTTGCATTTAACATGATAAAACTATCAGTTAATGAAACAAAAAGGAGCAGTTTGTTAGCCATGACCCGCGCTCGTATTCTTTGTATTTCGATTTAAAAATCTGATTTCGGGCCCGAAAAGTTACCGGGACTTTCGAGAAACGGACCCCAGGGCTTATACCTCTTCGTAAGGGTTTGAGGAGGGCTTATAAACACTGGGACCTATCCGAGAGAGCTTTTAACGGGAAGAGAAAAAGCGCTTCAAAACAATCTATAGCAGTGCTGATCAAAATACATTTTCATTAACTGGTTTTCAATTAGGGTTGAAAACATCATAATAAATCGAATTCAGAGAGGGGCTTGTATCCTGCGGGGCTTATAATCGGATGTATTTTTTTACAGGCAGATGGGCCTACAATTGGGGGTTTATCAGTGGATGGGGTTTAAAGCGGCAGTTTGTGGTATGGTAACAGAAAGATGAAAGTGCTAATGGTCTGTGGTCCCCCTTGTGCATGCTAAGGGCCTTAGTAAATTTAAGACAGCTTTCACACTTGGTGCCCGGGCACGGTGCCCGAGTACGGTACTCGGTGGCGATTAATGTGAACACACCCTTTTTTCAAGCACCCACGCAAGAATTCGGGCATGACGATGGTGCCGGTGCTCGAGTACAAGGTCTCGACCTTGTACTAGGGCACCAAAGTGGGCACCGTGTCCCTGTGTTCACGCAATTTTTGTAAGTTCCGGCTAGTCCACTGCTTTGTTCTCGCTGCTAAGCTCATGTTTCAAAATGGCGTAAATGGAGTAAATATGTACACAGTCACATGTCGGGCACTCAAAGTGTAAACACAACACCATTTTGTGCCGGTACCCAGGTACTAGTTCCCGAGCACCAAGTGTGGACAGTCCCTTTTAAAACTCACCACTTCCTTGATCGTGATGATCTCAAACTCAAAATGCACCTGGACAGGTTCTGATTCATTAAGACGCGGTAGAAATTCTTTCTGGTAGCCATCGAATAATTTCGTAAAAAGTGCTTGCGTCACGTTTCGCTTCGCCTCCTCTGCAACTGAAATAGGTAGCCACTGGTTATATACAACTGAATGTATCCCTTTCACCGAAAGAATTACGATCGTTTCGGTACAAAGTGGTTTCGCTGCATCGTAAAGTCAATTCGATGCAACCAACTTTATGTATTAAACAGTTTCAAAACAACAAACGGGTAATAACGAGAAGTTAGCGGAAACGACTCTACAACTTTGCAGCGAATCGACTTCATTGCGCAGCGAACCGACTTGTAGCGAAACGACCACACTTGAATCATTTTACTTTTTGGCACCGGCCAAATTAACTGCCCGACAAGTTGATAGTTCTACATCTTGAGAAATCCATGGAAAGCTTCGCTTTCTGAAACGTCACTGTTGAAATGGGAAAGAACACTTCGAAATTCTATGGCCTTCAAAAGAATGATATTTTTACAAGATGTCATTTTATTTAATGAATATTTTGTAAGCTTTGCATTTTTCCAAGTTAATAGAAAATGTCCATATAGTTTATTTAAACAATAACAGAAATTGGAAATTGACTTCTCTATCCTCTTCAGTTCTTGAATTAAAAATAATGGGAAATTGTCGTTTTAAAAAAGAAATGAATAGAGCACATTTAAGAAGGAGTTTTTCCTTTGAGAACATTTGATCTTCACTTCTGATTACAAAACATTTTTGTTATTGATTTCTCATTTATGCTTTGTCATGCTTATTCGGATTTTTTTTTATGTAGTACCTTTGTCGAATTAAAATTGATTAGCGGCTCAGTGGTGATAATATTCTACGTATATTATATACATTGGTAGGTAGTCCGGTGGTCTTTATCAGCGGAAATTTCATATATGTCGTGGGTTTCTCTTTTAATTGTTTGGATCTTTAGTCTCGCGGCACGAACCCTTCTGGAAAAAAAGAATTCGTAAAAAGAGATTAGAATTGAATAGCCTGTCCCCCGTCGATTCAGCAGTCGCCAACCGAATTGAATAGGGTTTCATGCGTACTCAGATATGGACATTATTCCATGGCGTTGCAAGGCAGTTACATGGAGACTTCTTCATCTTCTTCCTCTTTTTGTAATTCAACCCGTCTCGGTTTATCTGCCGGACAACAGGGGCACCCAACGAGAATATAGTTCAAAACCACTTAAACATAGCATTGTTAAACGTATTTTAGTATTTAAACGGTAGATATAGGCATACTATTATCCCCTAAAACTTTTTCATCTGTTCGGATTTCCTAGCTGAAAGTCTAGTGATCCGAAAATTATAGGGAACAAAACTTACCTTTTCGAAAATTTCAGCCAGAAAAAAGGCTCCCGAAAATTCTAGGTGACCTTTTTAGGGTAAAAATCCGTTAAAAAATGGGCAATTATACCATTTTTTAGATGTTCGAAAATCCTAGGAGAGGCTGGCAAGCAAGAAATTTTACAACACATGTTCCGAAAATTCTAGATCTCAAATCGTCTTCCGAACAGATATTTTCCGAAAATTGGCATTGGGTGCCCCTGGGACAATACCAAGTGTATTTTTATCGCATTTTCATGATAAGTGGTTCGAGTTTGGGATGGTATAGTGTAAAGTAAATAGAGATTTTATTTATCTGATGGGAGGCGGAAGAAAAAAAATAATTAAGAAAAAGTCGAATTGACGGGAATTAAAGGATGTCAAGTCTTTAACAAAAATGTTGAATTTCACGAGTTACTTACATACATGCCTTCAATTTCATCAATACGTTACCTAGGTAAAAGGAAGCTTCTTCGCATTTGGGTTGATATCAGGGGTGGAATCATTGTGTTTGACTCGGAAAGAGAAGTCACTTTGGTTTGAATCATGGGGAGGTATAAGGAGCCGAGGGTCCCAGGAAATCTGAATGCTACTGGGATATACAAGCTGCGGGATTTTAACGGAAGAGAACGACGGCAATGAGTAAGCTATCGTTTTGTAATCATTTTGTTTAGTTTCCTTCGTGCATGTCAAGTATGTGCGGCTGGCTACATTAAAGGCGTAAGAATCATACTTATGAATAAATAAGTTAACTTACTTTGACAAACACAGATTGTGTCCAACTGAATGATAGAAACAAGAATCAGCAAAAACGCCAAAAATTCCATCAAGCGATTTCTGTCCTTGCTCCGATGAGAGGTAACTGTTATAAATTGATACAAGCTAGCTGAAATATCTGGCGCCTTTCGGTCGTGTAAATTATTTCTTTTGAAAATTGTTTAAATTTTAATGAATTAGCTTGAATCCTCTCCCCTCGGATAGTATAGCGAGAGCTAATTGCCCCCGGGCGTAATATAGACAACGCGCTGGAAAGATAAAGAAAAAAATATTGACAATTGTTTTTCATTTTCAATCATGTCATTCGGATTTTTGAGGGACACCTGCGAATAAATCGCAGAGATTGGGAGCAGTTTTATTGAAATAAATTTTATTCAAATAATTCGAAATATATGAACGAGACCTTGTCCTCTTAATCATCAACCATAAAAAAGCCGTCTCTTTGCCAAATTACAGAAAAGGTAATCAACCTTCAACAAAAGGTCGAGAGATTAAGAAAACTCATGGCACAATCTCGAACAGACAGGGTGAACAGAATTTAAATCAAATTATCAATAGCTTAAGAGAAGCGGATTCGTTTTGTCTCAAATCGCGAAAATCGAACGATCTTCCTTGACCGAAAAACTAAAATTGCCACTAAACTTTCGAAGAAATGACGGTTGTTCAATAAAAATCCCGAAAGGGTCATAATTTTACGTCATTTAGGGTACAGTTAAGGAGACGGAATAGGCAACAATGGCAATTTCTTGCACATTATCATTTAAGTTGATACTTTACTAAGCTTCTAGGACACAACAGGGGATATTATATGACAATCGTCCAAACACAATAAACGAATGGCTACTTTCTTAATAGCTTGCGTCACGGCAGGCGTTTTGCTAGGAAGGAAAACTAAAGCATTAAGCTTGGGCAGAAGCATATAACCCTGATCGGGGCTATATGCTTCTGGCTTGGGGGGATACTCCCTTATATGACCATATAAGGATGTGCCGCTGGACAGGGTATGGTTTTTGATCTCTGTGTCCTAAACAGTGTATATACTGAATTTCCTGTAAGTCTGCCCTAAACAGGGTATATACGTATGTTGTTCGAGTCTGTCCTAATTATAAACAGGGTATTGTCTGCACGATTGATTTGATTTGCTAGACGAAATTTGTTTGCACTCCAAGTATACAAAAGCAATGACCATAACGTGAATTTGCTCTTACTATTGCAATTGCTATTAAATGGTTTTTGAAAAAACAAGACGGCGTGCATTTTGTCCTTTGTCCTACACAGAGTAATAAAATTGAGGTTGTCATCCTAAACACGGTATGTATTTTAGGATTTTTTTTGTCCTAAACAGGTTCAGGGTTTCAAACCCTCAGCGACTCATCTGTAGCCAAAGATTGGTCGAGTAACGCTCGGGGGATTTAAGGTGCTTGAGACGGTTTCTTCCTGGCGTGCCCACCGCGTTGTCGAGCACGTTTTAAACGCCTGCCATGCAGACTACAAATAGCGCCTCTGATCAATTGCATGATACTTTGTGCTTTATACCATTATTATTCGTTCAAAATATTTCAACGTTTCTGATTAGCTTACATTCCCTGGCTGATTCTTAACAACCAGTATAGATTGTAAAATAGTCCGTATTTTTGCGTATTCAAGTACAAGTACGCACGAACAGTCAAACAAAAGGTCTGGAGCGAGGCCGAAAACAGAGAGCGAGTCTGAGGAAAGACGCTATTCTTACGCTACGCTAAACTGATTTTGAGGAAAAAAACCCGACTGTTTTGTAGTCTAAACCAGTTAGCGTTGCCGTTATTAATATTTTTGACATCAATCGTCTTGATATCGACAGAAAAAGGGATGCTGAAGTCAAGCAAAGAAGCGGTGGTTCAGCTCTTTGAAAGTGCGGAGCTAGAGAAAATCGTGAAAGATTTCACACGTTCTGCAAGGACAACATAGCCGAACTACTGCCTCAGAGTAGTTACAAGTAGAAACAAAAAATAAAACTCGACGGATGACAACTGCTAGGGAAGAATATCTGCTAAAATCAACATCATTTCGGCCTTCATATCCTGAAATTACCACAGAACAGGCAGTTATTTTGAAAACGGGAACTTCAAATAGAGCACGTTGCAGGCGTTTTCTGGATCAGAATAATAAAACAATTATTGGATTCGGCTTTCGTATGATATGAAGAATTATGCATACCGTTAGGGAAGTGTTATAGGCTAATCTGTCAGATCCGCACAATTCTTCACATCATACGAAGGACTTATCAAAAGATTGTTATTTATCATCATTGTCATTTATATTATTATAATATTATAATCATCGGCCTCGAACTCGTCTTCAGGGCCTCCAGCGTCTCTCTCCGTTTAATATATGTTGTTTCACGTCTAAGTACGAATGTGATACTAAGTACGAGTCCTTATCTTCCTCGGAGAGGGGCGAAAAACTGCAGGCCCCGTCTCACAGCTCTTTCACCTTTCTCATTTTTATGGGGCGTGAAAGAACCCATGACCACGCCCACACTGTTGTTCGTCGAAAGTAGGGACCGTGGACCTGGTGGGATGGTGTGCGTCTATGTGAGTGTATTGCTGTAGAAGTCAGTATTTCTTTGAAATAACTGTTCGAAGGAACAAACATTGCCTAGAAATTTCTAAAGCTCGAGAAATACTAAAAATGTATTGATAACCGTTCCACCCGTCTATGATGTTAGCAATTTTTTTACTAACTAACCTTCTATAGATTTTCGGGGTTGTGTTTTTCACATTTTATCACAAAGATATTACGATTATTGCATAAAAGAGGTCTGTTGAAAATTTCGGTATAAAAATTACGTCCTTCTAATGAAAGTACGGCTATCCCATGTCCTCAAACTTTCGGGTAGGTAACAGTTTCGGATGAGACGAAAAACCAGCTAAAATTTTCGAGAAGAAAAATCTTCCCCTAACAAATCCGAACAGATAACAATAGTTTTTAGGGCAGCTCCAAATTAACCAATCAGGCTTCTAAATCATATATAGAGAAAACGATTTGAGACACTCCTGACGTATTTGGAAACAGTCGGTCGTTGGGCATCCTTTAGAAGTTTTCAGCTTTTAAGCTCTTTTGGACAGATATAGCCTTCTTTATCAAATAAAATGGTTACGATGATGATCACTACGTCCTCAAAACTATCAATCGATTCTTTTGCTGACGAGCAAGTAAGGAGAGTTCAAGAATACCATATGTGGGACTAGTATCACTGTGGCCTTTGCTATAAACAACAAGTAAAATTTCGTAACACGTTTTAATCATAATTAGGAATAATTACGAATTAGTTTGTAACGGAACCACGACTACTGTGAGGTAAAAGGCTACTTCAACAAAGTTAAATTCCAAGTTGCAATGACAAATCGACAATATTACGATTCTTGCTCCTGCTTTAGTTCCATAAGAAACGAATGTGAATATCAACAAACACTAGGAAGAGTATTGAAACAGGTATCGAAATAATATGAATGATAAAATATAAGGCGCAGCCTAGTTTTACGGGCAACATATTACGGTTATCGAACTCAATATATACGGCATCCTATTTCTACTTCTTTGATTTTTCCTTCACTGTTTAAGTACGGTCTGGAAGAGGGGCGGGGATCCTGATCCTGCATTCATGCTTCTTTTTCACGACAATCCCGCATTCCGAGCGTCTGTCATCTCAATCCCGAATACCGAATCCGCATCCCGTGCCACGATTTTGGCGAATCTTCATTCTCGAGTGGCGGTCAAAGCCTGTATTCCGTCGAGAACCTCTTCCAGACCCTGTTTAAGGTGACTCGACCCAGTTTTTTTTTGGGGGGGGGTACCATCCTACTTTGAAGCTCTCTGGTATCCCCACCTTTACTTTTATCGTAAGTCTAACACATAGAATGGATAACATATAGATCAATCTGCAATATAACATAAAATTTTTGGCGATCGGAGTAAATGTCACGTGGTTATAATGCCACGCCCCTTTGAGGTCTGAGTCGAAAATCGTCTGTTGCCGGCATTTTTTTGTGAAAATCTCTCGGCTACACATAGTGCGCATTAGTGCCTTGCGCTGAACAGAGTTTCACCAAAATCGCAAAGACCCAATTCGAGAAATTCAGCGGTTTCCAAATTTAGGTCATAATTTATGCGAAAATGATAAGCAAACTTTACACGGATTATATCTAATAAACTATGAGATTCATCTCTGTATTTTGGGCATCCTTATAACAGATGGGTCCTTGCAAGTCAGCAAAACGTTTTAGGGCCTTGTAAATGCGCGCGATTTCGAGCAAAGCAAACATATAGAAATTATAGTTTTCGCTATTTGTTGACGTTTGTCAGCGTTTAAGAGTCAATCTCACGAAAAAAGCATTTTCTTAAAAATTCGTAGTTTTTTTTCCTTCAAATTTTTTCAGGGCCACAATTGATTAAACAACTACCCGGACTCTGAATTTCATGGTCATTGAAAAGCTGTGACATTACCTTCTATAAGCCCAAACTTGAGTAAACATTGAAGATTTTTAGCGTTTTGGCTGAGTTTGTGCTTTGGGAGTTGTCTATTGTTTCTAGTCTGTCATTATACAGCATTCTTGTTCAGCACGCGTGCAATGACCACGCTTGGCTGACTTCCGAATGCTCACCGAGATATTCCCGTCACGAGTTGGTTTAATTATTGGCTTGCATTAAACCTATGAAAAAATGATATTTTTGTAATAGTAAGTAGACTTAGTGTGTAGCACTTCTTGATTTTTTTGCAAAGACACAAGAAGCACGAGAATTGATTAAAAATTGTTAGTTAAACCTCTATGTATCACGCGATGGCCTGTCTCACTGTACCAAATTTATGATATCTCGGTGAGCATTCGGAAGTCAGACAAGCGCGGTCATTGCACGCGTGCTGAACAAGAATGCTGTATAATGACAGACTAGAAATAATAGACAACTCCCAAAGCACAAACTCAGCCAAAACGCTAAAAATCTTCAATGTTTACTCAAGTTTGGGCTTATAGAAGGTAATGTCACAGCTTTTCAATGACCATGAAATTCAGAGTCCGGGTAGTTGTTTAATCAATTGTGGCCCTGAAAAAATTTGAAGGAAAAAAAACAACGAATTTTTAAGAAAATGCTTTTTTCGTGAAATTGACTCTTAAACGCTGACAAACGTCAACAAATAGCGAAAACTATAATTTCTATATGTTTGCTTTGCTCGAAATCGCGCGCATTTACAAGGCCCTAAAGCGTTTTGCTGACTTGCAAGGACCCATCTGTTATACGGATGCCCAAAATACAGAGATGAGTCTCATAGTTTATTAGATATAATCCGTGTAAAGTTTGCTTATCATTTTCGCATAAATTATGACCTAAATTTGGAATCCGCTGAATTTCTCGAATTGGGTCTTTGCGATTTTGGTGAAACTCTGTTCAGCGCAAGGCACTGATGCGCACTATGTGTAGCCGAGAGATTTTCACGAAAAAATGCTGGCAACAGCAGATTTTCGACTCAGACCTCCAAGGGGCGTGGCATTATAACCACGTGACATTTACTCCGATCGCCAAAAATTATATGTTTTATTGTAGATTGATCTATACGTTATCCATTCTATGTGTTAGACTTACGATAAAAGTAAAGGTGGGGATACCAGAGAGCTTCAAAGTAGGATGGTACCCCCTAAAAAAAACTGGGTCGAGTCACCTTAAGCGATTTGGATTTTCTAGTCTTAGCGCCCAAGCTTGAAAGAAACTTTTGCAAAGTATTGGCTGGCCGGCAAGAGTACACCATCACCTACTCCTCAATCATTAGTTCAGCGTTGTTTATCGTTAATTTGGGCGATGCGTCCCATAGCATTGGCGCCCGTAAAAATATCGCTGAGACTGTTACGATGCCGCAAATGACCGCAACAACCAGGAAGAATCGATCCAGAATCCTCGCGACGAGTGTCCATTCCCAGTGCCTAATGGCCAACTCATCTTCGCTCAAATGTTCCCCATCTTCCCTATATGAACGAGTCTCTTCTTTCGTAGTATTGTCTACCCCCTCATGGTTATTAATCATGAACTGGAACGTATTTATTCCGTAATTGTTCTGGCAGCCAAGATTCTCCATCTCTGTGCCAATGGTCTCAGACGATGGAGTGCCGCAGTACATTGTGTCACTAAAAGTCACATTAAACCCTTGGCTGTGCTGGTCTTTTCCGTCTTCCGTCAACTTTGCGATGGCGGTGTCGTTTGCTAATCTTGTAATTTTCCGACGGCTTCGCCTGGAAGACTTTCGACGCTTTATTTTTCGAGTCTCGGGGGTATCCGTTAAGAAAACGATAACCGCGATCCAGTTGATCACCAGCTTCTTCATCCATCGAGGCATCTTTCGATTGGTGCGATGATAGAAGTTTAAAATCATCGTTGTGACGACAACCGATGCTCCAATCTCTAAGATGATGGCAAAATAATACTGCCCAAGGATGGGGAAGTCGTAAGGCGGCATGATTTCGGACGTCAGCTGTTGAAACACGGTCATCGCCAACAACACAGTGATGCTAAGACCAATACGCTCTCCCGACTCTGGAGGAAGAACAAACCCGAGAAAAATCATGGAGGAAATCAAACAGCACGGAAGAATGAATTTGATAAAGTAATCCATGCTCTGTCGTGCCATTTTAATGGTAACTGTGACGTCTACGTATGGTTCTGTGCAGCACTGATACATCTCCTCCTTTCGCTTTATTTTAACCATGGTAACTTTCCATTCGCCATTTTCTTGGAAATCTTTGCTTGGAAATTTGTAATTCATTGGCGTGATGTTTAACGTCTGGGCATCATAATTCCATGAGCCAAATTTCAGGTGGCATTTTTGAATATCAAAGGGGAAGTATTTCACATTTATTTGGCACACACTTGTGAACATCATTGGGTTGCTCCAAGTTGTGGTTCCGTTAGAATTCAAAGTCACCCCTGACCGAAAAGTGGTTCGGCCACCTACGAAATGATCTTCATCGTCATTGCTGTGGAAGAAGGATAATGGCGATCATTGTTATTACTATTATTATTATTATTATTATTATTATTATTATTATTATTATTATTATTATTATTATTATTATTATTATTATTATTATTATTATCGTTATCGTGTTCTTATTGTTATTATTAATAGTATTCTTTAGTGCAAACGACCACAAAAAATCATCCATAAGTGATTGTTTTTCTCTGATAAAAATAATAAGGTAATGATTGAAATTTCCGATATCGTATGTTGAAGCATTCGCTAAAGTTAAACTAAAGTATGTTGAGTGGGACCGAGTTACGAATGTTGCTTCATCTGTTCGTCGAAATTTTTCGAGTCTCATTTTCGCCTAACGGTCATCTGATTCTGAATGAACATTAAAAAAGTTAACAACCACCACACTCCAGGATTTCAGCCCTCGAGTGTCTTAAACCCTTTCAGAGTAGGTGATGGAGTCTTGTAGGTACATAGGGTGGTTCTAAGTTTTGAGTCTGTGGACGAAATTACATGCTGTAACTATTCAAATGAAACTTAATCAGCAGTACTTTCACTTTTTGCTATATAAAATGTGAAATTGGGTGATTTGTTGAGTTAAGGGATTAAGCACATAACTACCGGACTCCGTAAAAATAGAGTGCTCTTATTCTTTTGAAAGGCGGCTTGTACTTTAATATCTGTGCACTAATACTTAGATAAAGGGAAAACCGTGAACAACTTACTTGTTATAAAGAAGAATATCTGGAACCCAGACCCTCTTTGCTTCCAAGTGGATTTTTTCTATTCCACCAAATTCGGATTCGTTCCAACGCAGCAAAGGATTTTCCCAACGCTAAGGGGTAAACATGAATAGCAACAGCCGAAATTTTTCTTGTGATCTCATGATGTGATTTACTTTGTTAGCACATTATACTAACTCTTTATAAATGCCACGCCTATATAATACTATGATCAGTGTTTCCAGTCATTTTTATTGTACGTGATTACCGTATTTATTCGATTAACCGCCCTGGGCGCTTATTAAATTTTTGGACCTTGAGAGTGGGGGCTTATTCGAGGCTGGGCGCTTATTAAATTTTCACCATTTTCAGCAAGTGAAGTATGTTTATTTTGCAACAGAACAACAAAAAGCTAATAACAAAACGCGAAGAAGTAACAAAGCAAGGTTTCTGTAAAATACTCTGAAGAAAACTCCGTCCTCGGGGAAGTCTCTTAGTAGAATTTATTCACTAAAGTGGGTGGGGTGGGGGTAAGCGCTTATTTGAGTTTGATTTTGAGGAGGAGGGGTGGGCGCTTATTCGAGGCTGGGTGCTTATTAACTTTTTCTGCCTTTAGGATGGGCGCTTATTCGAGGTGAGCGCTAATTCGAGGTTGGGCGCTTATTCGAATAAATACGGTAAGGGATATATGGGACAAGGTTGAAGAAACGGTTGACATTACGCAACCGCTCCTGGTTTATTCCTGGGGTAACGAGGTGGTATCCCGAAATGTCGGCTACGGTTTTCACAGGGTAACGATTACTGAGATTACTGATATACTTTACCTATAGCTAGGTGCAAACGGACGCAACAACTCCCAACATTGTTGGGGCAACAATGTTGGGACTTGTTGCGTCCGTTTGCACCTAGCTAAAAGTTTGACCGGTTCCAAGCTCTGCGCAACAACTCCCAACAACACGCAACAACATGTAACAGGGTGTGCAAACGGACGCTACATGTAATATCCAACAATGTTGCGTCCGTTTGCACGGGGCTTTAAGTTAATCTGTGATTTTAATATCACTGATCAAACTTACCTGAGTAACCCAGGCGATGACTATAATGGACTGTTCTTTTGCGTTCTGTTAAAGAAACCATTAAATACACTGATAATAAAAAGAAGCATCGGTATTTTCTTTGCAGCTAGAGATTTGCCCCATGGAATGGAATGATCCGGGATCTGGAATCCGGGAAAATTTTGCTTATGAAATCCGGAATCCTAGGCTTTTGAATCTGCAATACAGCTCAAGGAATCCGGAATCCCACTAAAGATTGGAATCCAAAATCCAATTTTCACTTACAGTGACTAGAATCCAGTACCTGGAATCCGGAATTCATGGCGGGGAATCCAGAATCCAAGACTGTCTTGGATTTCCTTACATGGGCCAAGAGATAATAACAGTTCTAATATAACTGACTAAGGGTTTCTAAATACACACGTTCTTGTAATCATGAATGGTGTTTTTACTTGTTCGTTTCCTTTTTTCATCGAAATGCATCACTTAAGCACTCTAATATGATTGCCAATAATGCAAAACTTCAGCCGAGAAATCAAACGTTTGTAAAAGCATCTTGAGGTGGAGTAATGAATTTCTCTTAGGATAAAAGCCGCCTAGCAGCGTTCTCAGTTTAAAGTGGTTCATCTTGCCACTTTAACGTCAAAGCCACGTTGTTCGCCCCCACAAAAAACTGCGATTACACTTCCTGATTACGGGCCGGTTTTACAAAATCATCCTAAATTTAAGCGGAGCTCCTTGCTTGGCTGTAGTTAGAAAAATGTGGCATCCATCTTTCGAGAACATTTGGTTGTCACGTGAGCGTACTTCGAATGGGCGTCAAATTCACCAGGTAAACCAATGTGAAACATCACCCTTACAGATCTTCCAAGCGATCATTTGGAAATCCATACTATCGTTCCTTTAAAGACTGGCATCCGCTGACCTGTTTCATATGACAATATCGCAGGTGCACTTCTCATCGAGATCAAGATCAAGTATTTTGAATTTTCCTGCTGGCCAGGTCCCAATTGTTCGAAAGGTGGATAGCGTTATCCGCTGGATAACTCTCTATCCACTGACAGTAGCGGAATTGGTTTTCCTAATACTTATCCACTGGATAGTGATTTATCTGGTGGATAGCGCTATCCAAGGTTTGAACAACCGGGGCCAGTTGATGATTTTTGCTTCGCGGATAAATTCTTTGTGTCATAGCTATTAATTTTGATAATTACAATGGTCAAAATTTGATTGTTTTCAAGTAGATGGGTAGAAATTTAACACGGGAGCTCTGCTTTGGGGCATGGCGAACTCTGAAATGATGTCTCCTAACAATGGAGGACATCTTACTTGAAAATAAATCTTGATAAAGGAGATCTTCGTGAGTGAGAACGCAGAATCACCCATTACCGAGGGCGGAAATGAACTAGTTGCTCTTTTAAAAATTGTTAAAAACCTCACCACTTCTACTATTTTGACGAGTTCGAATCCGAACCTAATGTTGATGACGTGAGACTTATCAAGTCTAGGAAGCAGGTCAACGCTGTAATAATCGCTGCTGTTGAAAAGTCTTTTGTGGAGTTTTCTTTCGTGGCTCACATAGTCATTGCGGCTTCCTATGAATGAAACAGGAGAGATCTTATGAATTATATATGATTTGTAATAGTACAATAACTCCATTGGGTAGCTGAGATCAAAACGTGGATACCTGGTGGCCTAGTGCTCTTCATCTGTCTCCTCCGTAGAGGCTTTTTTGAGTCGATACATCACTTGCGCATCTCCCATAATGCACCTTATTTGCCACCCAGAATTTCACATAAGCATTGTTTTCAATTTCTCTCGGTACGGCTGTATCACCCAGGAGAAAGGAAAAAAAAAGGTTATGCAAAATTGGGGGGGGGGGGTAAATAAGGTGCATTATGGGAGATGTGCAAGTGGCGTATGAAAAAGGAGGCTGGGAAGAGGGAAAATGAAAGCGCGTGAGGGACGATGGGATACTTTGTGGGAGCCTCCGGTAGAAGATAACTACGACATAAAAATGTTTTTTTCATTCTGTATCGTTGGTCATTCTATATTGGCATTTTGTACTCATAACATTTATTAGGATAACTAGGAATTAGTGAATAAAAATGTTATCATTTTGTAAATGTCATGATCTCAGCTACTATAAATTCATAAGCCGTATAGATGGTATAACCTTGTGGAAGTTCATTAGATTAAACCTAACTACAGAATTTTAGTAAAATCCAACTAGTGGTCTACTACCAATGCTGCGTTCTGATTGGCTGAGCGACTACTAGGCTATATGTTATAGCCCACTACAGTCAACCTCCGCCTTGCGGACACCTCGCTATTACGGACACCTTGCTATTACGGACAGCAGCAAAATCCCCGGCGAAAGTTACAGCCGTTCGACTGAAATAAACTCCCGCTATTACGGACTCTCGCTACTACGGACTTACGGTCACTTTATTCGGTCCCAACGTGACAATTTTATTGTTTTCTCCCTCGTTATAGCGGACACCGAGCAGCATCTTGGAATATTTGCACACATATCAAGTCTATTTTTTCTGCTTTTTGAGACTGTCTTTGTATTTTTTGGTCGATTTCCGCTTCTTCTGTCCATCAATCAAAATTCCTTCATCTTTTTCTCTTAAGGCCCTCTTTGCAGTCTCGCTGCCATGAATAAGTTCGTCCAGTCTGTCCAAATATTTCCTTCCGCCGTAAATCTTATAAATAACTGGAAGTTCCAGTCCCAAGCTAGATCCTCGATTGATCCGTTTTCCACAGATTTTTGCTGTTGCCTTGTGGTTAGCCCTTTTTTTTTCGGTACTTACCTGGAGTCCGATAACGAACTTCCAACCTGTTACAGTCTTCTTACCGAGCAACAGCTGTGGAAGCGATTGGTACTTCTCACGATGTCATGGAAATAGAGAGTGGCGACGAGAATGAAATGGAAAAAGAAGATACCCCAGGTGAAGGCAAACGTTCAAAGGAAACAAGCACTTTGAAAAGTTTCAAGGACGTTCTGAACAGTGTCCAAAACATTTCTGCTTTTTTGATTCATAGAGGGGAGTTTAAGGTTGCTAATGAATTTAGTCTCCTTGGCGACCAAGTGGGGGAAGTTGCAATTCAGAGGAGAAGTACACAGAGCCGATTGGAACAAGGCAATGTGATAGCTGATGCAATCAATAGCTGATGTTCAGGTTTTTCCTTGAAAATAATTTTTTTTAGAAATGTAGATTACTGTACTTCAGTACAGCTGCATGTGTGGACATTGCTGCAACATACGATGATTGTTTTTTACGTACTTAGAAGAACTACACTGTACACAAAGGGTACGTAACTCCTTTTCTGTTAAGTTCTGTTCTGTTTGTAAATAAAGTTCTGACGCTCTTTACTTGCGACAACGGGTCTGACAAAGGTACTGGAGTTAATGAAAATGAACACACATGTGACCCCCTTCTGTAAATATGGTTTAAAATAAAAATTTTCTCGCACCCCGCTATTACGGACTCTCGCTTTTACGGACACCAAATTGCGGTCCCGAGGGTGTCCGCTATAACGGGCGTTGACTGTAGTAGCGAAAAGCGCCGGCTTTGAAAGCCAAAACATTGGCGGCTGAATCGCATTTTTGCTGTAACTTAAATTGTTTTGTCTCGATATTTTTGACCAACTAGTTGGATTTTACTAAAACAATTATTCCTCTCGCCCTCAATAGCCCATTCGGCCGACTCAGAGCCCATTCGGGCTCAAGGAATGATTTTTTAGTATATATGGAACTTTCTATAATTATAGCTATTGAATCATACTGTGAATTGCCAGTTTAACCTTCGGTCTGAACCAGACAAATAGTCGCCATCCTTGGCCTTCCGGCTTTTGACATGCTAATCTAGCCTACATTTTCGTAACACTTCTCAAACGAGTCAAGGCCATCATTCCAGCTGACTCTTTCCACAATTTTCTTAAATATCCATTAACGCTTCGCTCCAGACTTTTTAATATGACCTCAAAACTTTTAATGTAGTTTTGTTAATTCTCATGGTAATCCTTGACGTTTTGAATTATTTGAAAAAAAAAAATTCGCCTTGAGATTAAGAAATGCCTGTATCAGACACAGCTGAGTCAAGATCGTAAAAAAACATCCTGCCCCCCCCCATTAGTTAGTCTCCTTTGCATCTGCTCGGGTCGGAATCACGCATGCGCATTGCTCCCTTCCCCTGCTCATGGGGAAGGGGAAGGAAACAAGCCATCGATCAGATTGCAGGATTTGGAGAATTTCGCCCGCTCACAAACTTCAAAAAAAATAAATACAGTAAATACCCACATATAAGAACCTAGAATTTTTTGAGGTCAGGCTAAACAGGTTCTTAAATTTTAGGGTAGTTTTTAAAAATTCAGGTTGATTAGGTTGTTATATTTCAGAGGTTGTCGAAGTGTAACCATTGGCAGAAATATTGTACTACTAATACGTAGACATATACACAATAACTTTATGTCAGAGGTTTCTCACACAATTAAAATCCAGGATTTTGACCATCGAAGGGAGTGAGTTTTCTGTATAAGAACCAATTTTTCTTTGCCAGGCTGAACAGGCTCTTATATTTTTGGTATTTAAATGCCAAATTTCTGCTTGTAGGTTCTTACTAGGTCCTTATATTCCGGTTTTTACTGTACAGATATTTAATTTTTATTAATTAATTATTCAAATCTTCACTTTTTTTGAAATTCATTTTTCGGTAAATCTAGTCAAAACATATCCTAAATGTTATGGAAAGGCCGTGTTCAATCTACCATCTATCAGCTGTCAAAATAGTTCTTCACGTAGAAGTCACTGTGCTATTCGTCCAGTATAATAAACCTGATTTAACACTCATCCTTGTTTGAGATATTAAACATTGAAAATATTTTCATCGTCATCTTACCTTCCGATGGTTGAAGTTGAAAAAGAAGGCAAAAAAGGGCGAAAATCGTCTTCTTGGTTAATAGAAACATCGTTGCTGTTGTCCATCATATAAACGACGACATATCTGTCGAACAATAGATACAATATATTAGACACATGATTGCTTTTAAAGGCAGGTAATGAAACTGTATCAACTCTTTCAAGTCCAAGAACATTCGAAACAGGCCGCCTGTACAAAGAACCTTGACAGCGTGAGCTGTTAACTAAGTGATTTCCATCAAGGCGAACCAAGCTATACACTGAAAGTCAGCTTTTGTGAATCATATATGATCACTTCAAATAATCAGACGTTTCCGTAAAGACATACCGTCTAAGTAAGGGAACCGTCTGGCTACGAATTGTATCCGTCTTCCCTTAAAACATTTCAGTCGCTGGATTTTTCAGAGATGACCACCATTACTGACTTTCACTGCGTTTGAGCCTGGTTTGGCTGTGCACTGCCCTGCCTGGAGAGAAAATGAAAAGAACGGTATATAAAACTTCTTCTCAGTTAAAATTAGCACCTTGAAAGACAACCTCGTCCCCAGCCCGCTCCCCAGGTTGCTTAAAAGATAAATTGTAAAAAAAAATCAGTTGACAAAGGTTTCACGAGACTGCCAAAGGAGTCATTTGCTTCAGTCGCGCGCTATAATTCTTTGTAAATTTGAACCAACAAGTACTTGGTCCACGGGTTCGACTTCAATTAACTCCAACTCCCTCGTTTAAAACTGCTTTGAATCCAAATTGTGCGAAGAAGCGGATCAGAGGTCTAACCACCTTTGTTTTCTTACAGAGTAAACGGTTATGAGGATTACAGTCATTCGGGCAACAATTTTAACGTTAATTCTCCACTACCTTTCCATCGACATAAGAATATTGAATATTGGTTGATTTAGATCGACTTCGCGTGTTCCCGTGCGCTAAACTTAATTTTTATGGAATTCTTAAAGCTGTGTTATTGGGTCAATACTCCCGATGAAAATACTCCTAATTGACAGAGGCGCCGATTAGCCAGCGAAATGATAAATTTGATGACACGCCTCATGCTCTGACAGTATTTTATGGACCGTCACCCTCTCAATTCCTTTCTTCTCTCAGAGACAGCAGTTCTAGCTTCTGACGCTATGAATGAATATTAAAGTATAACCCTTTAAAATTTATACTGGTATCATGCATTTTTAAAATAATGCATGATAATGCATGCATGATGATCTGTTGTTGTTTTTTTTAATTGAGAAGTTTGTTTTCAATGTGAATAGGGAAAAAATACTGTCAGCTTTTCCGGCAAGAGTTGGGTCGTAACTAAATTTTTGCCATTTTTCATTCCAAATTTTTCTCCGTTTCTGATTGCCTAAAGTATCTCGACTTATTCTTCATAACCAGCAAGCCTTCACCAAATTTGGAAGACGTTTGCGATGTTCAGTGAAATGTCGTCAATAGTAAAGGCTATCGCCTATAACAACGAACGGCAACCGAGAGGCCTAGGGGACCAGGTTAAGTTAGCTCGGTTGTTTAATGGTAGCGCTGGGAAGAATGGAGGAAAATGTCACACGTTTGATTTTGCGAAGACGAAATAACTGTAGTTCTGCGTAAAACACAGCAGGGACAGCAAAATACAACCCAACTTATTGCAAATACTATTTAAAGAGTATTTGCTAGACTGGACATCCTT